TTTTTGTTGATAACATAGGGTAGGGTTTTTTAAAATGTCTGATTTAGAAGATTAGGCAAGTGATAATATCTGATGCAAAAGTTACCGTAAAACAAAAATGTCTGATGCAGAAGACGGGCCCGAAGGGCCCGTCTGATGCGTCAGGCGGGTTCTGGCACTAGCGAGGACTCTGTTTGGATCCGCCTAACCTCGCGGGAGGTTTAAAGCCTCATTTTACACTTGCCGAACCTTTACCGAGCCACGCAATACTTTATTGGGGTTGTGGTTACCCCTGGACTTCAAAGCTATCGAACAAGGCCCAAGTCCCAGATGGTTTTTCGTATCCCTCTGGGACGCAGCGCAGATCCTCAGGTCGCTCATTTTCCCATCTCCGTCTCAACGAAACCGAACCGAACTCCAGCAATCGCTGCGGCATGTGGTGGGCTGTTCGGCTGCTTTCAGCCCCGACAACAACACCCCTTCATTGCGCTCCTTTCCTTTCCGTAGCTGTTCCTTTCACATCGTAAGTGTTACAGGGGGTTTTATTGTTCACTTTGCACAGTAACTCCCAACCCCATCCTTATCCTTATCTTCTTGGATTTCCTAGTGCCACGTGGCACTCTACTTTTCTTGCCTCTACTTTCTAGTCCTACGAAGTACTTTCCGACATTCGACCTTGCATGCTATATCATCCTTGCTTGTATCCACCAATATCAATCAATTCTCATTCAACTCTTCTTCAATTACTGAGTAACTTCTTCGCCTATTTCGCCAATAGTTCTTTCGCCAAAGTCTTCCGCCGCGTTTCATCCTCGACTTAGTCGACCCCGCTAATTCTTTAGCGGACTTAGGCCGTCGGGCCTAACACTTGGTATCAGGAGCCTTCGTGGGGAGCGACTTCCAACGAGCGACCGTCGACGACGAGACTACGACGTCATCGTCGCGTGGTGCCGACTTGCAGACTTGGAGTCGTCGAGCCAACATGGACGAGACCATGAACGCTCTCCCCAACGACATGGGCAACACGCTTGCTCAACTCATGCGCCAACTCGAACAGTTGACGTTGGAAAATCGTCAGGTACGAGCTGAAATGCAACAGCTTCGTGAATTCGCGTCAATTTCTCATGGTCATGCCGCACCATCTCCTGCACCCAACACGTCGACTGGCGCGGAAGCGCTGCCGGAACGTCGAAGGGCACTCAAGCCGCAGAAACCCGAGTCGTTCGACCCAAGCCAACGCGACGCGAACGTGCGGACGTGGATCTTCATGCTCAACAACTACTTCGCCGCGAGCGGGGTGCAAGAGGCGGATGCGCAGCAGCGGATCGAGTACTCCGTTACGCTGCTGAGGGGCCCTGCCTTGGAGTGGTGGCGCCAACTCACGCAAACTGCTGTAAGAAGGGCTCAGACAGACGGGCATCAACAGGGCGTGGGGCATGCAGCTGCAACTTCGAGCTTAGGGAGTTTAGCTTTGGGTGTTACCACGGTTCCGATGACATGTGAAGGATTTGAAGCGGCGCTGAAAAGTAGGTTCGATTTGGTGAATGCCTCCGAAGCTGCTAGGAAGCGTCTGCGTCATTTCCGATAGATAGGAAACGTCCAGGAGTACACACGACGGTTCTTGAGCATCTGCAACGAAATAGATGACATCACGGAAGCAGAGATGCGCGATCGCTACCTCGAAGGGTTGAAGCCGGACATAGCGGAAGTTATAGCGATTCACGGGTTGTCCATCTTCGAGTCAGTTGTCGCAGCCGCAGAACGCGTCGACGCAGTACGAAGCCGACGGGGTCGTGACGATCACGATAGGGGATACAACAGACCGATCAACGACGCTCGATCGAGGGACGGACCATCGCCCATGGAGATTGGTGCAGTTAACAGTGACGGCTCACAGAAAACGGGATTTAGGGGGAACTGTCACTACTGCAAAAAGCCGGGACACATGAAGCGAGACTGCCCACAGCTTAAGGAGCGGCAGCAGGGAAACGGAAACCGCCAGTAGATAGCGGGTCGCTAGCTGGTGTGGAGGTTCCCGTACCCGCCACGTCTACCAACGTAGAGGAGACGGCTTTGCAACAGTCATCTACGGAGAACGAGGTAGACACTGTTGACCGACCAGTCGTGCTTCTAGGGAAGCTTCGCGGAGTTCCGGTTAAGATTCTCATAGATAGCGGAGCTAGCCACTCATTCGTTTCATCATCGCTTGTTAGTCGCCTCCATCTCGAAGCAGATTCCGCAGTCAACTTCAAGGATGCTCGCATGGTAGATGGGACGCCACTTCACATAGGACCGGTCATTCGTAAGTTGCGCGTAGTGCTAGGACCCATCACAGTTAGGCGTGATTTCGACTCTGCGACGCTGGACGGTTACGACTTCATCTTCGGTAGGGATTGGCTACGGACGGTTAGTATTCAGTTCGATTGGGCTCAGGGAAGCTGCAGCGTCAAGGTAGACGAGGAGTTCCGGGAGCTGCCACAGTGGAGTGATGGGGCCACATCCTCCACAGCCATCATCAATGCTGTTCGTGTGCGGCAGCTGGTGAAGCGTGCGGCACGGATCTTCGCGGTTTTCCTTGAGGAGGTGGAAGCTGAGGAGGGGAAAGGAGGGAGTGCAGCAGTTGGTGAGAAGGCGACTCTTCCTGCTGAGGTGAGTGCACTGTTAGCAGAGTTCGCAGACGTCTTCCCCGACGAGTTGCCCCCAGGGTTGCCTCCCAGCCGAGTAGTAGACCATCGGATAGAGTTAGAGCCGGGGAGCAGGCCAGTAGCGAAGCCGCAGTGGAGGTTGAGTCCAGCAGAGACAGAGGAGATGACGCAGCAGGTTAGGCACTTTCTCGCGCAGGGTTTCATTCAGCCATCTAGATCGCCTTGGGCAGCACCAATCCTTTTCGCACCCAAGAAAGACGGAGGGTTACGGATGTGCATAGATTACCGCGCACTGAACGCCGCCACCGTCAAGAATAGATTCCCAGTTCCGAGAGTAGAGGATCTTCTCGATGCAGTGCAGGGCGCTAGAGTCTTCTCAAAGATCGACCTCCGTTCGGGTTACCACCAGATTCGCGTAGTTCCGGAGGACCAGCACAAGACGGCGTTTCGTACGAAGCAGGGGTTGTACGAGTTTAGGGTTCTACCGTTCGGATTGACCAACGCCCCAGCGACATTTCAGACACTCATGAACACCGTCCTCTCCGAGTTCCTAGGGTCCTTCGTCGTAGTTTACCTAGACGACATCCTAATATTCTCCAAGAATGTATACGGGCCATTGAAGCATGTATCTTGTGATTTCTCAGGTGTGTGTGCCTGAATGCATCTACGCATGTAGATGCATGCATCTGTGCTTCTGTGCATTTGTGCCTGTTCATTTTGCACCTGTTCATCTTTGTCCGTATGCACATGCACACCTGTTCATCTTTGTCCGTGTGCACATGCACACTTGTTCATCTTTGTCCGTGTGCACATGCACACTTGTTCATCGTTGTCCGTGTGCACACACACTTGTTCATCTTTGTCCATGTGCACATGCACACTTGTTCATCTTTGTCCGTGTGCACATGCACACTTGTTCATCTTTGTCCGTGTGCACATGCACACTTGTTCATCGTTGTCCGTGTGCACATACACACTTGTTCATCTTTGTCCGTGTGCACATGCACACTTGTTCATCTTTGTCCGTGTGCACATGCACACTTGTTCATCTTTGTCCGTGTGCACATGCACACTTGTTCATCTTTGTCCGTGTGCACATGCACACTTGTTCATCTTTGTCCGTGTGCACATGCACACTTGTTCATCTTTGTCCGTGTGCACATGCACACTTGTTCATCTTTGTCCGTGTGCACATGCACACTTGTTCATCTTTGTCCGTGTGCACATACACACTTGTTCATCTTTGTCCGTGTGCACATGCACACTTGCTTTGGTCCCAATATCCATGTGCCACATGCGTGAGAATATGCTATGTTGGAAAAGAACAGTATGGTACTAAGGGGAAATACAGTTGCAGTCGACATTTCGGTTTGTGCAATTTGTACACACAGTTTTTTTTGTGACGGGCTGCCTAACCGAGCGTACCGCATATCACGAATATCCGGATACCCACTAACATACGTGATTCTTTTCTTGCCTGAGCATTTTTTCCAACATAGATCATGTTCTCACAATTATAATTAATTCTCAGTGACTGATCGTGCCTGCACCACACGATTCATGCATCTGTTTGAATTGAATCGCTAAGAGGGAACAATGCATACATTTATTCACTCAACTAATGATTCCACTCCAACCTTAATGTTTCCATACCCTTCTTGCTCCTCTGTTCAGCCCTTTTCCCCTTTCGTCCATCGTCTTCTCCTCCTTGTCTCTCCTTGTCTCTCCTCGTCTCTCCTTGTCTCTCCACGTCTCTCCTCGTCTCTCCTCGTCTCTCCTTGTCTCTCCTTATCTCTCCTTGTCTCTCCTCTCCTCACTCCCCATGCCACACAGACGTCAACCCGTGCACGGCATGGGACGTGGACCCATGCGGTGCTGGCAGGTGCACTGCGGTGCGGTCAGCAGCCACAGGCACATACAACAGTACGTGCTCGTGCCCTCTCAGCCAGCCCAGCTACAAGCTCCCCCAAATGCCCGCCTTCCAAACGTGCTTCAACGGTAAGCTTGGCTGGTTTTAATGGTAAGGCAACGCAGCCATCACCACATAGTGCACAAGGGTATTGACAAGGGTAATTCCTGATTAAAATTACGTCTCATCAACACGAGCTCGTGCCCTCTCATTTCAGCCATTGCAGCTGCAACTCTTCAAATTTTGCCACATCCAAAACTCTTCAACGTACACAACACAGCACAATCAATCAACCAGCACATTGATACTTCCTTCTGCTTTCACCGTTAAGTGGTGCACTTCTAACCGTTTCACTCCCCACTTACCATTTCATCGCCTCCCACCCCATTCACTGTAGTACTCTGTATTTTCCTCCCACTTATCATCTCATTGCATCTAACCTCTCTAAATTCCTCTCCACCTTTTCAATGTCCGTCCAGAGTTCCCCGCATGTCGCCTTAACAGCACTGACACGTGTGCACCCGGGATGTGCCTGGAGGGCTATGATGCCTCCTCCTTCTGCCTCTGCCCGCCCTCCTTCTTCCCCCTCGACTACTCTAACCCCCTCAAGCAACCCTGTAACCAAGGTAGACTGACCTCTCACCAAGGTTACCCTGTAACTCAGCTGAATCACTTCAACCGCTTGAAGCGATCATCTGACCTCTCAGGGTTGGCAATCATCATCTGACCTTCTTTCTGCACACCCGGTTTGTTACCTGACTTGGACTTAATAGAATTGTACGTTAACCTTGCTTCAATCTATGTAATTTCTGAGTTGACTCCATCGCACCTGAGTTGCGGCAGGTTCTCATCGTTTTTTGCCTTTTGCCCACACTAGGAGCACTTGCGCACGTGTGCTGCTGACATGACGTGTGTATTGATGTTTGCTTGCACCAACAAATGGCCCACTTTAAAGTAAGCTGACTCACCCACAATGTTGTGAGTGCTGCTGGGCAAGCCTCGTAATGTGAGGTCAGGAGTGCACTCCTGTGCATTGAGTGCACTCCTGTGCATTGAGTGCACTCCTGTGCATTGAGTGCACTCCTGTGCATTGAGTGCACTCCTGTGCATTAAGTGCACTCCTGTGCATTGAGTGCACAAGAGGACCTCGTGTGCATTGATTCAGTTTCCTCGACTTCTCTAACCCCCTGAAGCGACCTTGTAAGCAAGGTAAGACTCTCTAAGCCAGGTAAGCTGCCGTACCGTGGTACTAGTCGCCCATCCTGTTAACCCTGGTACTTTTTTTGTTTAAACTCCACCGATCCCAACCTCTTGTTTTCACTTTGAGCTAAACACTCACGTCATCTAAGAGGCTTGTTCCTTAAAACACATTCCACACAAAATTGTAAGGCCAACATTTTCTAGGCGCTTCAATTGAACGTTGCTCTTCCTGTGATATCCCTCCCTACTCCCACCACACCTAATCTCTCCTTTACGTTCCACCGCTCACCTCACCACCACTATGCCAGGGAGCCCATCCCCTGTCACGTACCACCCTTCTTGCTGCCGCTGCCCACTCTATGTGATTTCCCTCTACCCGGTCTGCTGGCACCCCCCGCCCCCCCGTTTCCCCCCACCCCGCACCCCCTTTTCTACCATCTGCCCTGGAAGCCCTTCGTCCAGGCCCGGCGGCCTCACTTGCCGTCCGCTCCAAAGCCTTCAGCTCTGTGCTTCTCAACTTTCGGCCCTCTTGCCTCTCTCTCCTCTCTCCCCTTCCCCCCCTCTTCTCCACTTTCCCCCTTACCCCCTTCTCCACCTGCCCTCTGTCCATCAGTTAGCAAGTCCATCTGTCCCCTTGTGCTCTCTCTCCCCTTCCCCCCCTTTCCCCTTGTGCTCTCTCTCCCCTTCCCCCCCTTTCCCCTTGTGCTCTCTCTCCCCTTCCCCCCCTTTCCCCTTGTGCTCTCTCTCCCCTTCCCCCCTTTTCCCCTTGTGCTCTCTCTCCCCTTCCCCCCCTTTCCCCTTGTGCTCTCTCTCCACTTCCCCCCCTTTCCCCTTGTGCTCTCTCTCCACTTCCCCCCCTTTCCCCTTGTGCTCTCTCTCCCCTTCCCCCCCTTTCCCCTTATGCTCTCTCTCCACTTCCCCCCCTTTCCCCTTGTGCTCTCTCTCCACTTCCCCCCCTTTCCCCTTGTGCTCTCTCTCCCCTTCCCCCCCTTTCCCCTTGTGCTCTCTCTCCACTTCCCCCCCTTTCCCCTTGTGCTCTCTCTCCCCTTCCCCCCCTTTCCCCTTGTGCTCTCTCTCCCCTTCCCCCCCTTTCCCCTTGTGCTCTCTCTCCCCTTCCCCCCCTTTCCCCTTGTGCTCTCTCTCCACTTCCCCCCCTTTCCCCTTGTGCTCTCTCTCCCCTTCCCCCCCTTTCCCCTTGTGCTCTCTCTCCACTTCCCCCCCTTTCCCCTTGTGCTCTCTCTCCACTTCCCCCCCTTTCCCCTTGTGCTCTCTCTCCACTTCCCCCCCTTTCCCCTTGTGCTCTCTCTCCACTTCCCCCCCTTTCCCCTTGTGCTCTCTCTCCACTTCCCCCCCTTTCCCCTTGTGCTCTCTCTCCACTTCCCCCCCTTTCCCCTTGTGCTCTCTCTCCACTTCCCCCCCTTTCCCCTTGTGCTCTCTCTCCACTTCCCCCCCTTTCCCCTTGTGCTCTCTCTCTACTTCCCCCCCTTTCCCCTTGTGCTCTCTCTCCACTTCCCCCCCTTTCCCCTTGTGCTCTCTCTCCACTTCCCCCCCTTTCCCCTTGTGCTCTCTCTCCACTTCCCCCCCTTTCCCCTTGTGCTCTCTCCCCCGCTCTGTCCATTGGCCCCCTCTTTCCTCTTTCATCCCCCATAATCCCCCTCTGCCCTCTATCCCCCTTTTCCCCTCATCCCCCATTCCCCCTTTCCACCTGCCCTCCGTCCTCCAGTGAGCAAGGCCGCTACTCGAGTGCCATTCTTCCCAGCACCCCCCGGCCTCACATGCCCTCTGCTGCTCGACATATTTGACCTCTCACCTCAAGAGCTGCTGGAGAGAAACCAGGTGAGGCGCGCTGATGAGGTCAGGTGCGTTGATACACCCCCCGCACTTACACCTGGCCATGCGAGTCGAGTTTTCACCCAACTCGAGTTTCTACCCGACTTCAGAAACTTGAGTTACGTGTTTGGTATTTTCCCAATAAAACTTGACCGAGTTGAGTTGATGTTTTAGTCGTTTGATCTAAAAAAATATTGAAAACTATTTAGTCGATCTGGCTGAGTTTTATGAACTCGACATTGCTCGCTGGGTTTGCTGCCATCGCATGTGCTGGCAGCGACAGTATTGCTCCTTTAATAATCACCAGATAAGTCAGTCGGTGTAATATTGCGCTGTCCTCTTTTATGGACAGGGCATGGCATGTGACAAGCCCATACCTCGTGGGTTGATAGTGAACGTGTCAGCATCTGCCAACAAGAGCTGCACCAGCATGTATACCACCAACCAGGTGAGGCATGTATACCAGCAACCAGGTGAGGCATGTATACCAGCAACCAGGTGAGGCATGTATACCAGCAACCAGGTGAGGCATGTATACCAGCAACCAGGTGAGGCATGTATACCAGCAACCAGGTGAGGCATGTATACCAGCAACCAGGTGAGGCATGTATACCAGCAACCAGGTGAGGCATGTATACCAGCAACCAGGTGAGGCATGTATACCACCAACCAGGTGAGGCACAAATGGGTGCTTCTGGTGAGCCCTTTTCACAAGCACATGCACCACCAACCTGGTGAGACACAGTCGATTGCTGGCCATTTTCTGGACGCTGGTTGAGTGCCCAGCTTCACCCATGTTAGTCATAATGAATGGCAATGCCTTGTGACAACAAGTAGCCTTTGCACATGTCTCTTACACACTCTGGCGCGTGTCCTTCTGCCCCCCTGCCTTTTTCTGCTCCCCCAGACTCCGCAGACACATGCACTTCAAACTGCACATCGTTAGGAATCAGTGAGGCTTGAATCGCTCCAATGTCTGCTCACCTCACATGCTCCTCTCCTCTTGTCTCCCTGCGTCCTTCGCTTCCCTCTCTCCTTCCCTCCTGACACACACCACTATAACAAAAATCACAAATCTCAAAGCATCAAACTGGAATCAAAACTCCGACTTCATCCCCACCCGCGTTCACACACACCCATCTCTTCCCCCCAACCCACCTCAGGGTGACACATGCACGTCAATCAACAGTCTCCTTGACACCAACATAACAGATCTAAACCGTAACATTGACTGCTCACAACCTCTTGTACCTGGGAAGGTCAGATCGCACCCTTCCCTTCCCTTCCCTTCTCTTTCCAATGCTTTTTTTTTTTTTTTTTTTTTTTTTTTTTTTATCTGGGCTCTTTGCTCTTTTGTTCGGACGCTTCTGTAGGAGCCACCATTACTTTGTCTTCACATACTCCAGCAGATAGTTTTGCTGCCTTATTCCTTCGAATAGTCAAGAGATGAAGTTATTTTTATGCTAAGTTGGTAAAGCTCTAGTTTGTCTCGCAATAGGGTGTCTAACGTCCTTGAGTTCTTATATCACCTCGAGGTGCCTTAAGTACTCAAGCCGTGATACAGCTGACTGTTAAATACATACCTTTCGCTCCAGGAGAAATGAACCTTGTTCAAGACCCTCTCCCTCCCTTTCCTCTGTTGCATCCCCCTCCGCCCTGCAGCGCGTGTGTGTGGAGAACAACACCAGCGCCCGCACCTTCCCCATGGCAGCCTGCATGGATGACAAGGCGCTCGAGCCCGGCCTGCACACGTGCCAGCAGGTCGCCGCGTTCGGCTACGGGAGGAGGCGCATGGGCTACTCAAAGACCTTCCGCATCAACCCCGCTCTCTACTGCGACCACCTACTGCCCGGTGCTGCTGGGTGGAGCGACTCTGTTCTCGACTCGGTGAGCTCATTTGAAATGCACGCGGAACTTTACACTGAGCACTTTCAAGCCTTTCGAGCCTTTCAAGCCTTTTCAAACAGTTTTCTGATCTTCCTGGCTCTCTCTTTCCACCACCTGCCACCCGGTGCTGTTGGCGAAACCTGCTGTTCTCTCTACATAGTGGGGGCTTACTCCACGTTTACATGCTGCTTGCTTTTGTGTTTTGAAACCATCCATCCAGTTCTCTTTGCAAGACTGACATGGGCCTTGCAAGATCACAGTTCTGGCTTTGGTGTTGATGCTGTCACGGGTTTGGGGCTTCTTTTTCTGATAAGCTCAAGGCTGGATTGCTGAAAACAACTTCCTGACACCGCCCTCACACGGCGCGCATGGCATGCCGACCTGCATTTACGCTAATCCTGTGGTTTGACCCCTTGCACACACCAGGTGTGTTTGCTAGTGGATGAGCGGTCGGGTTCCGGAGGAATGCAGTGCGAGACTCGTCGGTTTTACCTCGTGAGGAGAGGAGACACCTGCGGCAAGCTGATTGCGTCTCGATACAAGCGGAAAGTAAACATTTTTCGGTCACTCAATGGAGGGTTTGACTGTACCGTGTCGTCGATGTGGGAGGGCATGCAGCTGTGCTTGCCGTAAGTTAAGGAGCTAACATTTCAACAGCTTTTCGCAACCGCTTTGTTCTAACCGGACTCTTACCAGTACTACTGTAGAATGCCGGCTATAGGACCTGCTGGTAAAAGGGTTTCCCTGGGGGACTCTTGAGTGGGTAGTGGGACTCTTATTGTAGGTGTTTTTGTGAGGACCCCCCTTTCGCCCCTAATCATTATTTATAAGTCTCCCTTTTCTGTATACAGTAGATGTTGTGGCTGTTGAAACTCAGCTTTTACTGGCACAAATTCAAATTCTGATACACCTTTTGTGTTTGAGGGGTTTTTTATCAAAGTAAATTTCTCTGTTTCTCTGAAAATCTGAGTGGTCTTTAGGGGGTCACTCTGACGTGTCTGGGTAATTTTTTTGGAAGATAAGTTTTCTCTGATTTGTCAGGGTTTTGATTAACCCACCGTAAGTTAAGTTATATAAATTCCGTCAGACCTTTGGTTAATTAGCGCGTAGCACAACGGTTACGATTCTGGTAGGAGTGCAGAAGGCCTGGGTTCAGTGCTTGAGAGGACACTCAGAGTTGTAAAAATAGGTACACTTACTACCCGGAGTATATTTTCTCTGACAAATCAGAGTAACGCTCATAATGAGCCCTGAATTTCAGAGTTCCCTAGAAAAAAGCCGAGTAGTGAAAATCCAAAAAAAAAGCCCTGTGTTTGACTCAATTTCTGACACTAAACTGTATTTGGGGTACGGTATATGGTATGAAGCAAATGCACGGCCCAAGCCATCTCCAACCTCATACTCCTGTCCACCTACTTGCCCAGCTGCCTGCAGAGCTTCTTGTAATCAACACACTCCCCTCCAGGCAGGTAGAGCACAAGCAGCTTGGTGAGGTACGCCAGATGGTGCAGCCCGGTGTCGTCCACCCCCGTGCCCTGCAAATAAAGCCACTCCAGGCCGCCCAGCCGCCCCACATGCACCATACCCATGCCAGTCACACCATGGCACCCAAGCAGCGACAGGGTGTTGAGCGCGGAAAGAGCAGCGAGGTGCATTAGCCCGGCATCGGACACCTGGGTGCGGCTCAGATAGAGGCGTGCAAGGCTCTTCGCTTCCCCAATGCCGATAAGTGCTTCGTCTGCAACGGTTGTGTCGCGCAAGCTGAGGTCCTCTAAGCGAGGCAGCTTGTAGAGGAGACGCACGCCCTCTGCAGTGAAGCCTGCTGACCCGTCCAAGTCGACGTGTTGGAGGTGAGAGATGGTGGAGAGCAGGCGCAGCGCGGTGGTGGATAGAATAGGCACGTTCTGCAGCTCCACATGGGTGCATTTCAATGCGTTCCCACACCACACTGACAGAAGGGTCTGACGTAAGGAGTGATGCAAATGATACAACAAGACGGACGAAGGCGTTCTTCAAACGTCTCTCACAAACGCGTACACTGATGAAGCGTTCCTTGAAAGGATCATAGCAAAAAAAAAATGGCGTGATAGTTTGAAAGAAGCTACAGCACACAGCCACACTCACCTCCCATGACCGCTGGCTGGCACGGTCAGTCCGTGTGAGAGCTTCTTGCAGCCCTGCCAGCCGCCCCTTGTGCTCCGCCAACTCGCCCCTCACTGCCGCCACCTCCCTCCTTGCCTCTTCCACCTGCTCTGCTAGCGTTCTCAAAAACCCTTCCAATCCCTGCCTCGGCGCTCCCTGCTCTGAAGGCATCCCACGAGCTTCAATCACTTCGCCCATTCCTGGTCTGCCAATCTCACTGTCCAAGGCAACATGAGAGCAATGAGAGAACACCGCATCACATAGGGACGTGTTGAGATACGGCATCAACCACCCAAGAATGCAGCGAACACAAACAGCGAGAGTGGGGAAACAGCGAGAGTGGGGAAACATCGAGAGTGGGGAAACAGCGAGAGTGGGGAAACAGCGAGAGTGGGGAAACATCGAGAGTGGGGAAACAGCGAGAGTGGGGAAACGGCGAGAGTGGGGAAACGGCGAGAGTGGGGAAACAGCGAGAGTGGGGAAACAGCGAGTGTGGGGAAACAGCGAGAGTGGGGAAACGTAAAGGTAAGCCAAAGCGATGCTACAGGCATCTCTATGGCTTCCCTGCTGCCGCAACCACGAGAAACTGGTGGCGCAACACGGGCGATGTTGGTTGCAGGCAGTGAGGTGGCGCGTGCTCACTTGGATGTGGGGCGATGAGCATGGCGGAGTTGACGGACGATGGCACGACACTGGCACATGGTGGGAACATGGAGGATGGGCACGAGGGGTTGAGGGGAGAAGAAGGGATGAGAGGCAAAGGAGGGGTAGGAGAAGGGAGGGTGGGAATGGAAGGTAGGGAGCATCATTGAAGGAGGGGATGAGGGCGAGGGATGGGGGAAGAGAGGAGGAGCGAGAAAAAGAGCATGTGGATAGCATGTGGATAGCATGTGAAAAAGAGCACGTGGATAGCATGTGGATAGCATGTGAAAAAGAGCATGTGGATAGCATGTGAAAAAGAGCATGTGGATAGCATGTGAAAAAGAGCATGTGGATAGCAAGCTGACGGTTGAGGCGGGCAGGCATGGCAGTGGCCGGCACAGAGGTAGAGGTGTAAGGCATGGGGGGTGAATGATGGCACGACAGGACATGCTCTCATCCATATCCTCTGCAACAGGCACTGATTCACATGCCTGCCGTGAACAACGTACCCTGCAATCCAAGAAAGCCATGGCCGCACTCCTCCTCAGCCCTGCCATCTCCACCATCAGCGCCAAGCCCTGCTGCTGCAACCACTTTCCACATCGCGCTGGTGATACACCCACCCACCACAGCAGAAACACGAGGGCGGAGCTTGCAAGGTATGCGAGGCCCACCTGTAGGAGGAGAGAAGGAAATGTCATGAGAGAATGGCATGGCATGAGAGAATGGCATGGCATGAGCACGAAAGTTGACAACCTCAATGGCCCATGCTGATGCTGCCCGCCTGGCGCCCACAGGCGAGGCAAGAGTGGGAGTGACGCCTGGAACATCTCACACCTTCTCGCTCTGGCGCCTCTCTTGCAAGAAGCAGACCGCTAACCTAATTGCAATCCTTCTCTTGTCACCCATTGCAGTGCAGGGTAATGCAGGGCAATGCAATGCGGGCCTTGTGACCATACCAGTGGCTCACCAGAGGGGGCAGAAGACGCCGAGGCGTTTCAGGAGCAGTGGCGGGGGGAAGGGAGGCCGGAAGCATGGCATGAGCGGGCATCCCTTGAGCATTCAGCTGAGCAAGGCACGTGGCATCATGACACATGGCATCAGGGCACGTTATAGCTCCAATGGGCTGGGAAACAACACACACGTGGATGCATGCATGCAGGGTATCACATACATGATACAATGACACGTGTCACAGGCATAGGCTATTTTCACAACGGGATGCACTACTGGGCGATTAAGGCTTGCTGAGAAACACGATCAACATGCGCACACAAGAAAATACGGTTCTCAAACTGGCTCATGTGATCAGCAGAGCACTCACGGGCGACAGGACTTCTGACCACCATAGGTGTGTACCTGCCCCGTGTGCTTGCAGCTGCTGTGCCATGCGCCGGGTGTGCGCCGCAAGAGCAGAGAAGCAATCCCAAGGGCGCCCGCCACAGCCAGCAGCACCGCGATTACCATCGCAGCCACTGCAGCCATCCGCGCAATCGCGCTGCGGGGAGGCGTTCAAAGAGCCCGTTAGCTGCGGGGAGGCGTTCAAAGAGCCCGTTAGTTGCGGGGAGGCGTTCAAAGAGCCCGTTAGTTGCGGGGAGGCGTTCAAAGAGCCCGTTAGTTGCGGGGAGGCGTTCAAAGAGCCCGTTAGTTGCGGCGGGGAGGCGTTCAAAGAGCCCGTTAGTTGCGGGGAGGCGTTCAAAGAGCCCGTTAGTTGCGGGGAGGCGTTCAAAGAGCCCGTTAGTTGCGGGGAGGCGTTCAAAGAGCCCGTTAGTTGTTGGGAGGGGAGCCTGTGAGGGAGCTCGTGTCTTGCAGGGAGCAGCAGGGAGGACCCGCAGCAGCAGCGGCCGTGGTGGTACTACTAGTAGGGGGGAGGAGGAAGGGCGGGAAGGCAGCGAGTGGGGCGGGTGGGTTAAGGAAGGAAAGAAATCGGCAGGCAACAGCACAGGAGGAGAGGCAGAGTTTGGGGGAGAGGATAGACCTGGAGGGGCGAGGATAGACCTGGAGGGGAGAGGATAGACCTGGAGGGGCGGGGTACGGATTTGCGAAAGGAGCAGCAAGGGCAGGTGGTTGGAAAGAGCAGCTCAGAGCCCAGAGCGGACTTGCGACACAGAGAAAGACGTCGTTCAGCAGGTCTGGCACCGTTCAGAGACGTCGCTCGCTCCGCGCCGATTTACAGGCTCGCTGCCTGCTCCGCGCGTGCCAGGGCCACGCTGCTGATGTCGTCACGCCGTTCGCTGCCGCGCCGCATGCGGACAGAGCGACCAACGCTCCGACCCGACCGATCATGGCCGTTCATAATCTCACAATGACGTGTCGTGTGCAGCAGACGGACGAGACGGCTAGCTGCCCACGCGACAACGACGGGACTTTGAGAGAACGTCATGTAGCGACTGATGACCCGTCCAAACATGCGCTCGGAGCATCGACGGCAGTGAGGGGGGGGCAGCGCAATGCAACCCGCCTCGGGAATGACGCCCGCGAGTGCGGTGAGGTGGGAGGGCTGGGCGTGGTGAGGCCGTGGCAGTCTAGAGTGCATTTAGAGTTAGGGTTTACTAGTGCTATGACTATTTGTACCATAGCTAAGTGCTTAGCTTACGTGCAGAACAGCTTACGTACAAAACAGCTCATTAGAGAGGATATACCATACAGCTTACGGCATCTGCAAAATCTTGACTTTGCAAAATCTGCAAAACAGCTCATATAACTTCACACTAATGCAATAATAATATATGCAACTGTATGCCCAACTGCCACAAGTGTAATAACATTTAATCACATCAAATCCTTCCACCGTATCTGCCTCCCAGCGTGCCCTCCTTCCCCTCGGTGCGCATGCGCGTGTACGTGGCGTCGAACCACGCCATGACAGCTGTCACGTTGGCCACGATGGCACGGCGGCGGTACATGAAGCGGCATGACGCGTTCTTGCGCGGGCATTCGGGGCCCATGAGCTCAAACACCTTGTCGTGCTCCACCCTCACCCACCTGCTCGTGCATTGCCGCACACGCCACACGTGCCGTGTGGCAAGGAGGGTTGAGGGTGGCAGAGGGTGACATGGAGTGGAAGGAGCGGGGATGAGGAACGTGCTTGTACGGGGCACGGCTGTGCTTGCAAGGGAGGGGAATGTGCTTGCAAGGGAGGGGAATGTGCTTGCAAGGGGTGGGGAGGGCACACGTGGATTGGGTCCAATGCGGCAGCGGCGGCGGCAGCGGCAGCGGCGGCAGCAGCAGCGGCGGCAGCAGCAGCGGCAGCAGCCCTAACCTGCTAGCCTCCTGGTACACCCTGAGCATATTCTTAAGGGGGGATACTCTGGAATGCCGAAGGGCATGAGGTCCAGCCCCCGGTGCAGGCAGCGCACACAGCAGGTACACCACAGCAGGCAGCGCACACAGCAGGTACACCACAGCAGGTACACCACAGCAACATGGCCCCTCAACCCATGCATGTGCCGCTCACCTGGAAGCCTCCTCATAGAGACGCAGCATACGCAGGCCGTCTTCGGAAATGCCAAAGGGCACGAGCTCCAACATCGCACTGCCCGGGCGCATTCCCCCACCCATGCATTCCCCCACCCATGCATTCCCCCACCCATGCATTCCCCCACCCATGCATTCCCCCACCCATGCATTCCCCACCCATGCATTCCCCCACCCATGCATTCCCCCACCCATGCATTCCCCCACCCATGCATTCCCCCACCCATGCATTCCCCCACCCATGCATTCCCCCACCCATGCATTCCCCCACCCATGCATTCCCCCACCCATGCATTCCCCCACCCATGCATTCCCCCACCCATGCACGCACCCACCCATGCACGCACCCACCCATGCACGCACCCACCCATGCACACACCCACCCATGCACGCACCCACCCATGCATGCGCCCACCCATGCACGCACCCACCCATGCACGCACCCACCCATGCACGCGCCCACCCATGCACGCACCCACCCATGCACGCACCCACCCATGCACGCACCCACCCATGCACGCACCCACCCATGCACGCACCCACCCATGCACGCACCCACCCATGCATGCGCCCACCCATGCACGCACCCACCCATGCACGCACCCACCCATGCATGCGCCCACCCATGCACGCACCCACCCATGCACGCACCCACCCATGCATGCGCCCACCCATGCACGCACCCACCCATGCACGCACCCACCCATGCACGCACCCACCCATGCACGCACCCACCCATGCACGCACCCACCCATGCATGCACCCACCCATGCATGCGCCCACCCATGCACGCACCCACCCATGCACGCACCCACCCATGCATGCGCCCACCCATGCACGCACCCACCCATGCACGCACCCACCCATGCACGCACCCACCCATGCATGCGCCCACCCATGCACGCGCCTCTCGCCTCTCACATGGAAGCTTCCTCGTAGACTCTGAGCACACGCGGGTCGTACTCGGGGATGCCAAAGGGCACGAGCTGCAACACTGTACTGCCCAGCACACATGGCCCCTGAGGTCCCACCCAGCACACATGGCCCCTGAGGTCCCACCCAGCACACATGGCCCCTGAGGTCCCACCCAGCACACATGGCCCCTGAGGTCCCACCCAGCACACATGGCCCCTGAGGTCCCACCCAGCACACATGGCTCCTGAGGTCCCACCCAGCACACATGGCCCCTGAGGTCCCACCCAGCACACATGGCCCCTGAGGTCCCACCCAGCACACATGGCCCCTGAGGTCCCACCCAGCACACATGGCTCCTGAGGTCCCACCCAGCACACATGGCCCCTGAGGTCCCACCCAGCACACATGGCTCCTGAGGTCCCACCCAGCACACATGGCCCCTGAGGTCCCACCCAGCACACATGGCCCCTGAGGTCCCACCCAGCACACATGGCCCCTGAGGTCCCACCCAGCACACATGGCCCCTGGGGTCCCACCCAGCACACATGGCCCCTGAGGTCCCACCCAGCACACATGGCCCCTGAGGTCCCACCCAGCACACATGGCTCCTGAGGTCCCACCCAGCACACATGGCCCCTGAGGTCCCACCCAGCACACATGGCTCCTGAGGTCCCACCCAGCACACATGGCTCCTGAGGTCCCACCCAGCACACATGGCTCCTGAGGTCCCACCCAGCACACATGGCCCCTGAGGTCCCACCCAGCACACATGGCCCCTGAGGTCCCACCCAGCACACATGGCCCCTGAGGTCCCACCCAGCACACATGGCTCCTGAGGTCCCACCCAGCACACATGGCCCCTGAGGTCCCACCCAGCACACATGGCTCCTGAGGTCCCACCCAGCACACATGGCCCCTGAGGTCCCACCCAGCACACATGGCTCCTGAGGTCCCACCCAGCACACATGGCTCCTGAGGTCCCACCCAGCACACATGGCCCCTGAGGTCCCACCCAGCACACATGGCTCCTGAGGTCCCACCCAGCACACATGGCTCCTGAGGTCCCACCCAGCACACATGGCCCCTGAGGTCCCACCCAGCACACATGGCCCCTGAGGTCCCACCCAGCACACATGGCCCCTGAGGTCCCACCCAGCACACATGGCTCCTGAGGTCCCACCCAGCACACATGGCTCCTGAGGTCCCACCCAGCACACATGGCCCCTGAGGTCCCACCCAGCACACATGGCCCTGAGGTCCCACCCAGCACACATGGCCCCTGAGGTCCCACCCAGCACACATGGCCCCTGAGGTCCCACCCAGCACACATGGCCCCTGAGGTCCCACCCAGCACACATGGCCCCTGAGGTCCCACCCAGCACACATGGCCCCTGAGGTCCCACCCAGCACACATGGCTCCTGAGGTCCCACCCAGCACACATGGCCCCTGAGGTCCCACCCAGCACACATGGCTCCTGAGGTCCCACCCAGCACACATGGCTCCTGAGGTCCCACCCAGCACACATGGCCCCTGAGGTCCCACCCAGCACACATGGCCCCTGAGGTCCCACCCAGCACACATGGCCCCTGAGGTCCCACCCAGCACACATGGCTCCTGAGGTCCCACCCAGCACACATGGCTCCTGAGGTCCCACCCAGCACACATGGCCCCTGAGGTCCCACCCAGCACACATGGCCCTGAGGTCCCACCCAGCACACATGGCCCCTGAGGTCCCACCCAGCACACATGGCTCCTGAGGTCCCACGCCCACCCAGCACACATGGCTCCTGAGGTCCCACCCAGCACACATGGCTCCTGAGGTCCCACCCAGCACACATGGCCCCTGAGGTCCCACCCAGCACACATGGCTCCTGAGGTCCCACCCAGCACACATGGCTCCTGAGGTCCCACCCAGCACACATGGCTCCTGAGGTCCCACCCAGCACACATGGCCCCTGAGGTCCCACCCAGCACACATGGCCCCTGAGGTCCCACCCAGCACACATGGCCCCTGAGGTCCCACCCAGCACACATGGCCCCTGAGGTCCCACCCAGCACACATGGCCCCTGAGGTCCCACCCAGCACACATGGCCCCTGAGGTCCCACCCAGCACACATGGCCCCTGAGGTCCCACCCAGCACACATGGCTCCTGAGGTCCCACCCAGGACACATGGCCCCTGAGGTCCCACCCAGCACACATGGCTCCTGAGGTCCCACCCAGCACACATGGCCCCTGAGGTCCCACCCAGCACACATGGCTCCTGAGGTCCCACCCAGCACACATGGCTCCTGAGGTCCCACCCAGCACACATGGCCCCTGAGGTCCCACCCAGCACACATGGCTCCTGAGGTCCCACCCAGCACACATGGCTCCTGAGGTCCCACCCAGCACACATGGCCCCTGAGGTCCCACCCAGCACACATGGCCCCTGAGGTCCCACCCAGCACACATGGCCCCTGAGGTCCCACCCAGCACACATGGCTCCTGAGGTCCCACGCCCACCCAGCACACATGGCTCCTGAGGTCCCACCCAGCACACATGGCTCCTGAGGCCCCACCCAGCACACATGGCCCCTGAGGTCCCACCCAGCACACATGGCTCCTGAGGTCCCACCCAGCACACATGGCTCCTGAGGTCCCACCCAGCACACATGGCTCCTGAGGTCCCACGCCCACCCAGCACACATGGCCCCTGAGGTCCCACCCAGCACACATGGCCCCTGAGGTCCCACCCAGCACACATGGCCCCTGAGGTCCCACCCAGCACACATGGCCCCTGAGGTCCCACCCAGCACACATGGCTCCTGAGGTCCCACCCAGCACACATGGCCCCTGAGGTCCCACCCAGCACACATGGCCCCTGAGGTCCCACCCAGCACACATGGCCCCTGAGGTCCCACCCAGCACACATGGCCCCTGAGGTCACACCCAGCACACATGGCCCCTGAGGTCCCACCCAGCACACATGGCCCCTGAGGTCCCACCCAGCACACATGGCCCCTGAGGTCCCACCCAGCACACATGGCCCCTGAGGTCCCACCCAGCACACATGGCCCCTGAGGTCCCACCCAGCACACATGGCCCCTGAGGTCCCACCCAGCACACATGGCCCCTGAGGTCCCACCCAGCACACATGGCCCCTGAGGTCCCACCCAGCACACATGGCCCCTGAGGTCCCACCCAGCACACATGGCTCCTGAGGTCCCACCCAGCACACATGGCTCCTGAGGTCCCACCCAGCACACATGGCCCCTGAGGTCCCACCCAGCACACATGGCCCCTGAGGTCCCACCCAGCACACATGGCCCCTGAGGTCCCACCCAGCACACATGGCCCCTGAGGTCCCACCCAGCACACATGGCCCCTGAGGTCCCACCCAGCACACATGGCCCCTGAGGTCCCACCCAGCACACATGGCCCCTGAGGTCCCACCCAGCACACATGGCCCCTGAGGTCCCACCCAGCACACATGGCCCCTGAGGTCCCACCCAGCACACATGGCCCCTGAGGTCCCACCCAGCACACATGGCCCCTGAGGTCCCACCCAGCACACATGGCCCCTGAGGTCCCACCCAGCACACATGGCCCCTGAGGTCCCACCCAGCACACATGGCCCCTGAGGTCCCACCCAGCACACATGGCCCCTGAGGTCCCACCCAGCACACATGGCCCCTGAGGTCCCACCCAGCACACATGGCCCCTGAGGTCCCACCCAGCACACATGGCCCCTGAGGTCCCACCCAGCACACATGGCCCCTGAGGTCCCACCCAGCACACATGGCCCCTGAGGTCCCACCCAGCACACATGGCTCCTGAGGTCCCACCCAGCACACATGGCCCCTGAGGTCCCACCCAGCACACATGGCTCCTGAGGTCCCACCCAGCACACATGGCCCCTGAGGTCCCACCCAGCACACATGGCTCCTGAGGTCCCACCCAGCACACATGGCCCCTGAGGTCCCACCCAGCACACATGGCCCCTGAGGTCCCACCCAGCACACATGGCCCCTGAGGTCCCACCCAGCACACATGGCCCCTGAGGTCCCACCCAGCACACATGGCCCCTGAGGTCCCACCCAGCACACATGGCCCCTGAGGTCCCACCCAGCACACATGGCTCCTGAGGTCCCACCCAGCACACATGGCCCCTGAGGTCCCACCCAGCACACATGGCCCCTGAGGTCCCACCCAGCACACATGGCCCCTGAGGTCCCACCCAGCACACATGGCCCCTGAGGTCCCACCCAGCACACATGGCCCCTGAGGTCCCACCCAGCACACATGGCTCCTGAGGTCCCACCCAGCACACATGGCCCCTGAGGTCCCACCCAGCACACATGGCCCCTGAGGTCCCACCCAGCACACATGGCCCCTGAGGTCCCACCCAGCACACATGGCCCCTGAGGTCCCACCCAGCACACATGGCCCCTGAGGTCCCACCCAGCACACATGGCCCCTGAGGTCCCACCCAGCACACATGGCCCCTGAGGTCCCACCCAGCACACATGGCCCCTGAGGTCCCACCCAGCACACATGGCCCCTGAGGTCCCACCCAGCACACATGGCCCCTGAGGTCCCACCCAGCACACATGGCCCCTGAGGTCCCACCCAGCACACATGGCCCCTGAGGTCCCACCCAGCACACATGGCCCCTGAGGTCCCACCCAGCACACATGGCCCCTGAGGTCCCACCCAGCACACATGGCCCCTGAGGTCCCACCCAGCACACATGGCCCCTGAGGTCCCACCCAGCACACATGGCCCCTGAGGTCCCACCCAGCACACATGGCCCCTGAGGTCCCACCCAGCACACATGGCCCCTGAGGTCCCACCCAGCACACATGGCCCCTGAGGTCCCACCCAGCACACATGGCTCCTGAGGTCCCACCCAGCACACATGGCCCCTGAGGTCCCACCCAGCACACATGGCTCCTGAGGTCCCACCCAGCACACATGGCCCCTGAGGTCCCACCCAGCACACATGGCTCCTGAGGTCCCACCCAGCACACATGGCCCCTGAGGTCCCACCCAGCACACATGGCCCCTGAGGTCCCACCCAGCACACATGGCTCCTGAGGTCCCACCCAGCACACATGGCCCCTGAGGTCCCACCCAGCACACATGGCCCCTGAGGTCCCACCCAGCACACATGGCTCCTGAGGTCCCACCCAGCACACATGGCCCCTGAGGTCCCACCCAGCACACATGGCCCCTGAGGTCCCACCCAGCACACATGGCTCCTGAGGTCCCACCCAGCACACATGGCCCCTGAGGTCCCACCCAGCACACATGGCCCCTGAGGTCCCACCCAGCACACATGGCCCCTGAGGTCCCACCCAGCACACATGGCTCCTGAGGTCCCACCCAGCACACATGGCCCCTGAGGTCCCACCCAGCACACATGGCTCCTGAGGTCCCACCCAGCACACATGGCCCCTGAGGTCCCACCCAGCACACATGGCTCCTGAGGTCCCACCCAGCACACATGGCCCCTGAGGTCCCACCCAGCACACATGGCCCCTGAGGTCCCACCCAGCACACATGGCCCCTGAGGTCCCACCCAGCACACATGGCCCCTGAGGTCCCACCCAGCACACATGGCTCCTGAGGTCCCACCCAGCACACATGGCCCCTGAGGTCCCACCCAGCACACATGGCCCCTGAGGTCCCACCCAGCACACATGGCCCCTGAGGTCCCACCCAGCACACATGGCCCCTGAGGTCCCACCCAGCACACATGGCCCCTGAGGTCCCACCCAGCACACATGGCCCCTGAGGTCCCACCCAGCACACATGGCCCCTGAGGTCCCACCCAGCACACATGGCCCCTGAGGTCCCACCCAGCACACATGGCCCCTGAGGTCCCACCCAGCACACATGGCCCCTGAGGTCCCACCCAGCACACATGGCCCCTGAGGTCCCACCCAGCACACATGGCCCCTGAGGTCCCACCCAGCACACATGGCCCCTGAGGTCCCACCCAGCACACATGGCCCCTGAGGTCCCACCCAGCACACATGGCCCCTGAGGTCCCACCCAGCACACATGGCCCCTGAGGTCCCACCCAGCACACATGGCCCCTGAGGTCCCACCCAGCACACATGGCCCCTGAGGTCCCACCCAGCACACATGGCTCCTGAGGTCCCACCCAGCACACATGGCCCCTGAGGTCCCACCCAGCACACATGGCCCCTGAGGTCCCACCCAGCACACATGGCCCCTGAGGTCCCACCCAGCACACATGGCCCCTGAGGTCCCACCCAGCACACATGGCCCCTGAGGTCCCACCCAGCACACATGGCCCCTGAGGTCCCACCCAGCACACATGGCTCCTGAGGTCCCACCCAGCACACATGGCTCCTGAGGTCCCACCCAGCACACATGGCCCCTGAGGTCCCACCCAGCACACATGGCCCCTGAGGTCCCACCCAGCACACATGGCCCCTGAGGTCCCACCCAGCACACATGGCCCCTGAGGTCCCACCCAGCACACATGGCCCCTGAGGTCCCACCCAGCACACATGGCCCCTGAGGTCCCACCCAGCACACATGGCTCCTAAGCCAACACATGAGGATCTCACCTAGAAGCTTCCTCGTAGACTCTGAGCACGCGTGGGTCATACTCAGGGATGCCGAAGGGCACTAGCTCCAGCACGGCACTGCCGGGGCGCATCCACATGACATGGTTCATGGTGCCGTCTCCACTCACTGTCACCAGCATGGACGCCGCTCCCATGAATAGCACCTGTGGGGTTGAGGGGTGGGGAGGCACAGAGGGAGAGGAGAAAGGGCGGAAGGGGAGTGTGTGTGCGGAGACATTTACATGACGTTTTGCACGGTGCCGTTGCCACTCACTGTCACCAGCATGGACGCCGCTGCCATGAATAGCACCTATGGGGAGAGCAAGGAGGGGGTGGGAGAAGGGAGATGAGGAGTTGTAGTGAGAGTGCGGAGGCATCCACATGACATGGCTCACCGTGCCGTCGTCGCGCACTGTCACTAGCACTGACGCCGCTCCCATGCAAAGCACTTGCGGGGCAGCACAAGGAGGGGGGCGAAGAGGGTCAAGGGAGGGGATGGCAGGGTGGGAGAGGGAGAGGAGGGTGAGGAGTGAGGCTAAGCCTAAACCCCTAACCCCTGCACTCCCCCATGTCAAACTATATGCTACAGATATTGTAGGCTAGGCTAGGTTGGGTTATGTCAGGTTACTTCTTAGAGAGTACAACACTTCATAATTAATTACTCTGATGCCCTGTTGCTAGTCATTTACATTCCGTTCAGTTCATTTCTTGATATGGTATCAGAGCTAGGTTACAACCGTTCGATTCCGCCGCGCCTACCTAGCCTCTTCGCCTACCCTAGTGCGCCCGACTGTTGCCCCTAGCGCGCCCGTCGCCCTTAGCTCAAGGCTCAACTATGCTGCCCTGTCGCGCCTTAGGGCGTATCACAGTTTGGTGTCAAGGCAACTGTTCAGCATTGACTTGGTGTGATGCGCATTTTCCGCTCCCAAAAACACAGGGGGCCGGAAAATGCGCATGACACCAAGTCAACGTGAGGGCCCCCGAGGGCCCCTCCTGTTGCTTCTACGGTGGCCCCCGCGGACCCCACTCGTGCGCGCCCTAGTACGCCCCCCCCTCTTCTGCAGGACACTCTCGCGCTGCCCTAGGTCGCTAGCGCGCGGGCACGCAGCGCCCGTCGCTTACCCATCCCGCTGCCTGTAGTGCGCACCGTCGCCTGCCCGACGCCTGCCTCGCGCAGCCCGTGGCGTGCCCGAATGGTCCATACGCAGAGTTGGTGGGTTGTCTCGTGTACTTGATGACCTGCACTCGCCCAGACCTCGTTTTCTCTCCCAGCGTCCTGGCTCGCTTTGTTGCGTCTGGGAGACAACGACCTGCTCACTTGTTGGCTGTTAGTACGGTAGCGAAGTAGTTGGCGAATACATCAGGTATAGGATTTTTGCACCAAAAAAAAAAAAAAAGGCTGCCGCCCAGGCTAGTCTGCCGCTCGTGCCGCCCGTGCTAGATTGCCGCTCGTGCCGCCCTTAATAGCTTGCCACCCATGCCGCCCCTGCAGGACTGCCGCCCATACCGTCCTGAGTCATATCACATGCAGTGTTGTTTTTGCTGACTGGTCTTGTGACTGCTTGCCTCAGAAAGTTGGACTAGTAGTGTCGCCCTGAGTTGTTGTTTCTCTTACTCTTCTTTATGCCTCTTACCTAGCCCATGGGGGTGTGTCAAATTATATGCTACATATATTGTAGGCTAAGTTAGGTTGGGTTATGTCAGGTTACCAGGGGACAACACTTATATTTATCTACCCTATATGCCCTGTTGTAGTCATCCTCATTCTGTTCAGTTCATCTCTCAACACCAACACCTACCCCACGTCCTCGTCTCACCTGTGCACAAGATTTTGAAAAGTTGGCCTCCCTCACAGCCACCAGCTCGAATGCAGTGGCCTTGTAATAGCGGTCCCTCAGCCCTTTAAGCTTCTTAACCCCCTTAACACCATTCAACCCCTTGAGGCCCGTGAGCCCCCACCCACCACCCCCTACACACCTACCTTCCCTTCCTCGTATCGACTCACCTGCGCACAGAAGTTGGTGAAGTTAGCCTCCCTCACTGCCACCAGCTCGCACGCAGTGGCCTTGTGACAGCGGTCCCTCAGCCCCTTGAGCACAGCCTGTAGGTTCTCCATCATGCCGTACCCCCCACTGTCCGCATCGCCATACAGCACCAGCACACGGATCGTGTGGGCGTCGGAACTCACAAACCCCCGCAGCCCTGGCGGCACCCCCGCCATCGGATGCTGCTGGGTCGCCCCCGCCCCTGCCCCTGCCCCTGCTGTGCTGTTCCCAGCGGCAGCAGCAGCGTCGGTAGCAGAGGGAGAAGGGATGGAGGAGGCGGCGAGGGAGCAGTAGGCCCAGGCGCGCTCCTGCACGTCCTGCAGCACGATGCTCCTCTCCTGTGCTGCCGGCCGGTACCGCCGCGTCATCACCCCGCGCTCAAAGCACACGGGGCGCGTGCCGTTGCGCACGCGGAACGGCGCGATGTGCGCCCCAAGAATGGCCTTGAACAGAAGGCGCGACCAGGGCGACAGGCGCATGTCGAGCCCGCCGCGGCGGTAGAAGAAGGCGCGAGCGGGGCGCATGAAGGAGTAGTCGGGGTAGGGGTAGAAGAGGTTGGCGAGGATGTTGGGTGTGTGGAAGCGGTCGTCAAAGCCGTAGCGCGAGTGCAGCAGCAGCGACGTGCCCAACAGCATGAGCGCGGACGGTGGGATGGAATCGAAGGTGGCGATGGCGAACGAGTTGTTGCACGCGCCCCCGGAGAAACAAAGCGGTGTGGAGAGGTTCCCCTGGATGCAGAGGATCTGCTTGGGGTGCTGAGGCGAGGGGAAGACGTGCACCTCTGGCATGTTCGTCACCTGGGGAAGAAGGGGGTGAGGGGGGTGAGAGAGGGGGAGGAGAGGGGCACGAAGGAAGCATTGGAGGTCAAGAGAGAAGCAGCAGCGGGTGAATATGGCATGTGGGTGAGTGTGGCGCAAGTGAGAGGGAACGACGAGATGTGAAACCAGAGGAAAGGAGGTTGTGCGACAGGTGAGAGGGACTGACAAGGGGGCAAGAGGTGGGTGTGGAGCAGCGATGCATTGAGGGGAGGAAGTCAAGGGAGGGAGCAGGAAAAGAGAGCTGCCTGCCAGCCACTGGGTGGTGGAGTGGGTTGCGGATTCTGAAGTGCAAAGCATTAAGTTACCCGTCTGAGAGAGAAAGGGCATGAATCCGAAGTTACCGTCTGAGAGAGGGCATGAATCCGAAGTTACCCGTCTGAGAGAGGGCATGAATCAGAAGTTACCCGTCTGAGAGAGGGCACGAAACAGACGTTACCCATCTGAGAGAGGGCATGAATCAGAAGTTACCCGTCTGAGAGAGGGCATGAAACAGACGTTACCCGTCTGAGAGAGGGCATGAATCAGAAGTTACCCGTCTGAGAGAGGGCATGAAGCGGAAGTTCTCATCGCTGGACGACATCTTGGTGGCGTCAAACAGCGCCTCCCACTGCAGCCCCCCGTCCTTCTCCCCCTCCCCTCCCCCTGCGCCCCCACCCCCTCCCCCTCCCCCACCCCCACCCCCGGCCTTGTTGAACTGCATCTTGGTGAAGGTGTCCTGCTCCAGGTGGAACTTGGCAAGAGTGGAGTTGCGCAGCGGCATGTCGCCAAAGAAGGCCTCGAGATCATTCAGGCACGCCGACCCCACGCGCGTGTGGTCCTCGAACGACGACGCGAGGTCCTCCGTGACGCGCTTGTCGGGGTCCACGACGAGTAAGGGTGCCGCGTCCGTGAGCTCGGAGGCCAGGAAGTTGAGAGCCGCGTCGGCGCACTGCGGGGACATCTCGATGTAGTCGCGCACTTGCTGGCGTGACGAGTGCATAGAGGGGGGGGGAAGGGAGGGTACGTGGAAAGGGTCGTTTTGGTTGAGCAAGAAAGCCTGGTGAGGAAGTTGAAGGATGCGTGGGCGCACTGCGGTGACATCTCCATGTGGTCCCGCACTGCCTGGCGTGTGAGGGGGCAGGGGAAGCTTGTGGGGGGAAGAGCGGCAGAGGTGAGGGTGCAGGCACAGGGCGCACTGAGGGGGCATCTGGATGTAGTGACGCACTGACTGCTGTGTCATGGCAGCAGAAGGGGGGAGTGGAAGACCCAGGGGAGGGGGGAGGAAAGGGGGGCAACGGCAAACAACCCCCCCCTCTCTTCCCTTCCACGCACCTACCTTCTCCCTCCCTTCCTCTCTCACACCCCCCGTCCATCGCTCCCCTTCCTCCCCCACACAATAAGTGCCCCAAATCCAGCCCATCATAGAGCACTAAAGTGCTCGAGGCGGACTCCACTCCTTCCATTCACAACTCATTCCACCCTGGGGCCTGCCGCAAAGACTTGAACCCATCACAACCACCCTGGAACCCCCTCCTCCCTACCTGGGGCAGCGTGCACGTGTAACCTTCATGCTAGCTGCCCCCACCCCCCTCTTCCCCCCAAACCTCCCATCCCCATCCCCTTCCCTGTTACCTGGGGCAGCGTGCACGTGTACGACTGCAGGTAGTCCGCATGCAGCAACAACAGCCGCGCCCCCCCCATCGAATACTCATCTCGAGCTTTATGCGGCACCCCAACCACCCCTCCCCCCTCCCTCTCTCAACCCCCCCTCACTCAACCCTCCCCTCTCCACACTCCTCCCACCCCCCTAACCTGGGGCAGCGTGCACGTGTCATGTACGACTGAAAATAGTCTGCATGCAGCAGCAATAACTGTAGTCTCGATGCAGCAGCAATAACTGTAGTCTCGATGCAGCAGCAATAACTGTAGTCTCGATGCAGCAGCAATAACTGTAGTCTCGATGCAGCAGCAATAACTGTAGTCTCGATGCAGCAGCAATAACTGTAGTCTCGATGCAGCAGCAATAACTGTAGTCTCGATGCAGCAGCAATAACTGTAGTCTCGATGCAGCAGCAATAACTGTAGTCTCGATGCAGCAGCACCATCGAATACTCCTGCGGTCAATGAGGCAACCCACCTCCCCCCCCCCCCCGTCCTCTCTCCCCACCCACCTCCCTCTTTACTCCCACCTCCCTCTCCCCCCACTCCTCCTACCCCCATCACGGTCTCACCTGAGGCAGCGTGCAGGTGTACGACTGCAGGTAGTCGGCGTGCAGCAGCAGCAGCCTTGCGCCCACCATGGAGTACTCCTCGCGGGGGTCCGCCACGAACACCAGCTCGCTCGTGTGCGGGTCGCGGTAGTGCGCGGACGGGAAGAACCCCACGAGGCGCTGCGGCTGCTCCTGCCAGAACTTGAACGCGGACGACAGCACGGACGCGCCCACCATCACCGAGTCGTCGCACATCAGCACGCAGTCCGTCGGGAGGGACGCGATGGGGCGCATGCGCGCCGACATGGAGTAGCGGCGCAGCGGCGGGAGCAGCTCGACGGGCTTGCTGGCGTTCCACGACTCGATGGCCGCCGCTAGGATGCTCTGCGTGTGCCCCTGCGCCCACGCGCTGCCACCACTGCTGCTGCTCCCTGTGTTCCCTCCGCTGCTGCCACCAAGGTTGAATCCTCCTGAGGACTCCCCCCCAACACCACCACCACCAGCAGCAGCACTCCCCCCTCCCACAGCCTCGCTGGGTTTGGCCATAACGTAGATCATGTGCACGAAGCGCATGGCGGCGAAGTGGAATATGAGCGTCTGCAGCGTCGTCAGATCCCCACCCGTGAGGATCACCACCGACAGCTTTCTCGGCACGGGCGCCCCGCGCGCATACTGCATGAAGTCCGTCTGGCACAGCGGGCTGGGCAGCGCGTCCGCCGGCGCAATGGCGCCGTGCTGCACGAGCAGCCCCGACATGTCGCGGAGCAGCTCCCACCTGAGATGATCATACCGCCGTGTGGGCGGGTACAGCTTGTCCGTGAGCTCGTCCCAGCGCTCGAAGCCGCCAGCGAAGCGCACGACCTTGAGCTTGGGGTGCACCCATTCGTTCCACGTGGCGGAGTACCCCAGGCGCGACGGCGCGTTGCACCCGTAGTCCAGGTGGTGCTGCGCGCCCAGCTGCGGCCAGTCGGAGAAGAAGTGGTTGAAGAAGATCAGGTCCTCCGACCCCACTGGGAGGACCGGCCCCCGCCGCAGCCGCCGCTGCAACCCCCACTGCTGCTGCTGCTGCTGAGGCTGCCCCTCCTGCCGCCCCTCCTGCTGCGTCTGCGCCTGGTCGGGGTCTCCTGCAGCGAGGGTGCGTCGCGCGCTGTCACTGTCGCTGTCCACGTCGCCGAATGCGATGGCGGCGTATTCCGCGACGAGCTGGCGGTACGTCGCCACGCTCGGCTCCAGCACCAGCAGGCTCGGGTTGAACCGGTCCGGCAGGGAGTTGTCCGGAGCTGCGGTAGGCTCGGGCCGAGCCAGCACGTCGTCAATGTTCTCAAGGACGAGCATGCGCGGGTCGAGGTAGACGACTTTAGAGTATTGGCGCAGCAGCCACATGGAGAATTTGAACGGCAGGCACTCCGCGAGCGCCGCGGGGTGCGGCGGCGGGGAGTAGACGGAGCTGAAGGAAAAGGGGTCCGCGAAGGTCGTTGGGGGGAAGGGCGGAGAGAACTCCGCCGCGGGGTTCGCGGAAAAGGGGTTTTCCGCGGAGTCCGCGGCGGCGCGCGCGAAGGATTGGTTGAGGTAGGGAGAGGCGGAAGTGGTGGGGCGGAAGGGGTCGTCGAGCAGCGCGAGCACGGACGCGGGGACGCCGCGCGGAAGCGGGTTGACGGTGGCGCCGAGCGCGCGGAAGATGTGGCGCGGCGTGCCGGAGAGGTTGCGCGCGAGCACGACGATATCGTGCTCCGTCTTGGTGGATCGGATCGAGTGCACGAGCACCATGGCGGACTTTAACTGCGACTCGTCGCACACCACCACTACGTACGCCGCGGGACCTGTTAGTTTCCCGCCGCCGCCGCCGGCGCTGCTCCCGCCGGTGAATCCGCTTCCGGAGTTTCCGCCGAGACGGGAGGTCGCGCCGACGTTTGCGGCGGAGTTTGCGGCGCGGGAGTCGGCGGAGTGCCAGGGGCGCGCGGTGACGAACCAGAGCGTGAGGAGGAAGGCGAAGAAGCCGAAGAACTGCTGAAACGCCGTCCACAGCCGCGCGTACCGGAACGACTGCTGCAGCGACGCCGCCAGCAGGTCCGGAGACGACCCGTACCGCGCCGCCGCCGCCGGGCGCGACACGACGTGGCTCCGCGCGATCGCCATTGGCCGCTACGCGCGCGGCGGGGGGTTCAGTTGAAATGGAAGCGGCGCGTCAGGGTAAGGACAGGCGCGAGTGACTTGTACTAGTGTCTCTAGTAGCGAGGAGTGATTACGGCGGTGGGTGTCGTGCCACGGCGGCAATCATGATCGAATTGGAGATTGCCGCATGAAGGTGTCGACTTAGTTTGCGAAGCAGCGGGCGCGCGATAAAGAGCGATTGAGAACCATACTGTTGCTTCACGGAGCCTCAAATACTAACTAGTACATATCATACATAGCTAGCTAGAGAAGAGAAACTAGATTCTGATCATCAATGTCGAGTGCTAAACCTACCTCCACTCGAGCATCTGTTTGCTCCCAACTTGCAACCAGGCCTGTCGAAGTTTCTGGGACTCGTACTTGCGCTCCCCAGCTCCTCCGCATCTGACCCTTGGTTGGGTGTAGGTGTGCGTTTTGGCGCCCTTAAAGCCCAAGACCTGAATTACTCAACGGAAGTCAACGCTAAAAGCTAGGTTCGGGAGGCAGGCACGGAGAGGTTCGGTTGGGTTGCGAGAGACTTTCACTCGCGAAACCAATTTGCGACAATCTCGCTTCCCATGATGGCTGGGGTTCTTCCCACAACCAGAAATGCGCGAGCATACCAAACTGTGCACAGTTTGAGATTGCACGCAGAGTATTAGGTATAGACCATACCTGTAGACAGGGCAGGGCGTCGGCGTTCACTCATATGGGATCAGATGCGCCATACGATGTGGGTGGCGCGGATTTCGATGATGATGCGCAAAGCTAGTGTCCGCTGGATGAAGATTATTGTGTCGAAATGCAGGTTATTGTGCAACTAGCGTAATCTCGCGGCGAAAATCGAATTGCCACCGTTCGCCCAAACGTGACCCTCCCCTCGCCCTCGCTTTCCTTTCTCACGCTTCCGCTCTTTTTCGCCCGCGTCGTCGCCCTCGCTTTCCTTTCTCACGCTTCCCCTCTCTTTCGCCCGCGTCGTCGCCCTCGCTTCCGCAGCTCGTCGCGTGCCCGTCGCCTTCGCTCCGCCCGTCGCCTTCACTTCCCCCCCGTCGCCTTCACTCCCCCCCCTCCCCCCCCTCTTCCGTTGCCTTCATTTCCCCCTCCCGTCGCCTTCACTTCCCCCTCTCGTCGCCTTCACTTCCCCTCCCGTCGCCTTCATTTCCCCCTCCCGTCGCCTTCACTTCCCCCTCCCGTCGCCTTCATTTCCCCCTCCCGTCGCCCTCACTTCCCCTCCCGTCGCCTTCATTTCCCCCTCCCGTCGCCTTCACTTTCCCCTCCCGTCGCCTTCATTTCCCCCTCCCATCGCCCTCACTTCCCCTCCCGTCGCCTTCCCTTCCCTCTCCCGTCGCCTTCACTTCTCCCCCCCGATGCCTTCGATTCCCCCTCCCGTCGCCTTCCACGCCTGCCGCACTCGCTTTCCCGCCCGTCACACTCGCTTCCCCACCCGTCACCTTCACTTCCCCTCCCATTGCCTTTCACTCTCTCCTGTTCACTCTCTTTCCCTCTGCTCACTCTCTTTCCCCCTGATCACTCGCTTCCCCCCTCCTCAATCTCTTTCCCTCTGCTCACTCCCCTTGTTCTAACCCCACTCTCCCCATTTCTCACCCATTTTCCCCCTTTACGCTCTCTTACCCCCTCTGCTCGCCCCTGTTTTCCCGGCTCACTCCTATACTCACTCTCTCCCCCCCTGCTCACTCTCTTCCCCCCCTGCTCACTCTCTTTCCCCCTTCTCACTCTCTTTCCCCCTTCACGCTCTCTTTCCCTCCCTTCCGCCCGTCGCCCCCCTTCGTCTCATCGCCCTCCCTGCTGCTCGTCGCCTTCGCTCCCGCTCGTCCGCTCGCAATCCCCGTCTCTCTCTCCCCCCGTCGCCCTCCCTTCCACTCCTCGTTGCCCTCGCCATCCCTCCCTTCTCCCTTCCCATCTCGCACACTTGTCACGCCCCTACACCCTTCCCTTCTTCCCTGTTTCCCCGCATCCCCTGCGCTGCTTTCCCCCATCCTCCGACTTGCTCCCCCCATCCCCTTCCCTGCTTCCCCCCGTCCCCTCCCCTGCCTCCCCCCATCCCCTTCCCTGCTTCCCCCCATCTCCTTCCCTGCTTCCCCCCATCCCCTTCCCTCCTTCGGCCCGTGCCCTCCCCTGCCTCCCCCCATCCCCTTCCCTGCTTCCCCCCAACCCCTTCCCTGCTTCCCCCCTTCCCCTTCCCTGCTTCCCCCCCGTCCCCTTCCCTCCTTCCCCGCGTCCCCTCCCCTGCCTCCCCCCATCCCCTTCCCTGCTTCCCCCACCCCCTTCCCTGCTCCCCCCCATCCCCTTCCCTGCTCCCCCCCATCCCCTTCCCTGCTTCCCCCCATCCCCTTTCCTGCTTCCCCCCATCTCCTTCCCTACTCCCCCCCATCGCCTTCCCTGCTCATTCTTGCTCCCTCTGTTTCACCCTTGCTCCCTCCCCTTCTTCTCTTCTCACTCTCTTCCCCCTTCCTCACTCTCTTTACTTCTGCTCACTCTGTTCCCCCCTGCTTCCTCTCTTCCCCTCTGTTCAATCTGTCCCCCGCTGCTTCTTCTCTTCCCCTCTGCTCATTCCGTTTACTGTCTTCCCCCCTTCACTCACCCCCATACCCCCCAATGCAGTTACAGGTGCCCAGGACCAGATGTGGCTTAACATGGCCTGGTTTATTGCTTGCAGTATAGCAGACAAAACCGGGAAGCAACATTACACACACCCCCAAGCTTTGTTCCCTTCTCGAGTCTCGTGATTCCCCTTATTTTACAGATACTGTAATATATTAATTGTTGAACTCCCTGGTATGTGTATGACTGCTCTGAGGCTCATAATCCTGTATTATTACAAATTATCCAATACATGGCAAGGCTATACGTCGTGTTACTACGGTATCAGACAGCCAGCACATCACAAACCCAGAAGTCAGATGTGACATGGCTGAAGTATAAGGGAAGCAGGCATGCATAAGAATGACAACTGGCAAATAAGGAAAGGAGGAACGGAGGAAGGGAGGAAGTGAGGAATGCAGGAATGAAGGAAGTGATGATGGGAGGAAGGGAGGTAGGGAGGATGCTTGGGGGAGAAGCAGAAGGGAGGGGAGGAAGAGAGGCTGGGGAGGAGGGTGGGAAGGAGGGTGAAACTTGGCAGAGGAATGATGGGATCGGGAAAGGAGGGACGAGGAAACGAGGAAAAGAGGAAACGAGGAATGGGGTGGGGCAGAAAGGGGTGGGGCGGAATGGGGTGGGGCAGAAAGGGGTGGGGCAGAATGGGGTGGGGCGGAATTGGGTGGGGCGGAATGGGGTGGGGCAGAAAGGGGTGGGGCGGAATGGGGTGGGGCAGAAAGGGGTGGGGCGGAATGGGGTGGGGCGGAAAGGGGTGGGGCGGAATGGGGTGGGGCGGAAAGGGGTGGGGCGGAATGGGATGGGGCGGAATGGGGTGGGGCGCAAAGGGGTGGGGCGGAATGGGGTGGGGCGGAAAGGGGTGGGGCGGAATGGGGTGGGGCAGAAAGGGGTGGGGCGGAATGGGGTGGGGCGGAATGGGGTGGGGCGGAATGGGGTGGGGCGGAACGGGGTGGGGCGGAATGGGGTGAGGCGGATTGGGGAGATGAGGGATGGGGAGATGAGGGATGAGGAGATGAGGGATGGGGAGGTGTGGGATGGGGAGGAGAGGGCTGGGGAGGAGAGGGATGGGGAGGTCAGGGATGGGGAGATGAGGGATGGGGAGATGAGGAATGGGGAGATGAGGGAAGGGGAGATGAGGGAAGGGGAAATGAACGTGTATGCGACGGAAGGGTGCTGCTGGCCACTGGCGGTGGGCGACAGTGGCGGTGGGGGGAAGCGTGGGCGACGGTGGCGGTGGGGGGAAGCGTGGGCAACGGTGGCGGTGGGGGGAAACGTGGGCGACGGTGGCGGTGGGGGGAAGCGTGGGCGATGGTGGCGGTGGGGGGAAGCGTGGGCGACGGTGGCGGTGGGGGGAAGCGTGGGCGACGGTGGCGGTGGGGGGAAGCGTGGGCGACGGTGGGGGGAAGCGTGGGCGACGGTGGGGGGAAGCGTGGGCGACGGTGGGAGGAAGCGTGGGTGACGGTGGGGGGAAGCGTGGGACAGAGTAACTCAGCCATATGACGAGGGAGGAAGGAAACACCTGAGGCGCCAAAGAGGCAGGGGCACACTGTAGTACAAGAGAAGCGCTGGATGCAGGCAGACGAACGAGGGGGAGAAAGAGCCGACATCTGATGGTGCAGGCTGGGAATAACCCTGCAAATCACATGCGGGTAGCCCACCCATTCCCACGTCACGTGGCACGTCACCCCGTCCACGTGCAGCGGTGCCTTCACAAAGGAGAAGGGAGGGGAGGACGACTGTGGGGTAACGAACGAACAGAGTAAGGGAGGAGGGCAGGAGGTAAAAATGTGGCAGGGTATAAGGGTGGATAGGATAGGAGGATGCCTGGACCCTCTCTCCCTCCCCTCCGCCTCCCCTGCCCCGCCTCCCCCGCTCCCCTGCCCCCTGTCATCTGAAGCACTGCGCTCCTTGCTGCCCGACTGCACGCGCTGCCCCGGCTGTGCGCCCAGCGCTCTGCTCCAAAGCCGCAGCAGCACCTGCCATGCGTGCGGGGTTGGTGCAAGAGAGAGAAGGGTGGGTGCTGCTGATGCACCCTGTGACATCCCACCGCGATCGAGTCACGACCCCATCCCCAGCGCTCGAGACCTGCCCGCCATACGTCCGCGGCCAGGGTGGGTGAGAGGCAGGGAGGGAGGGAGAATGAGAGAAGGAAAGGAGGGTGCAAGGATGGGGTGGTAGGAGTGAGAAGGTGGCAATGGGGAGAGCGAGAGCGACCAAATGCGGCAATGGGAAGGGAAGCAACAACGAACCTAAAGACGATAGGAACGGATGAGAGGGTGGGCGGCGTGGGTGGAGAAGCAATGGTGATGAAGAGGTGGAACGTGATAGGCAGGGAACTGATGACGACGTGGAGAGAGGTGGGAGAGAAGGGAGGTCGGCGGGGAGGCTCATTTTCAGGCGACAGGGAGGACGATGAGAGGGGAAGCGTGGGCGACGGTGGGGGGAAGCGTGGGCGACGGTGGGGGGAAGCGTGGGCGATGTGGGGGGAAGCGTGGGCGACGTTGGGGGAAAGCGTGGGCGACGGTGGGGGGAAGCGTGAGCGACGGTGGGGGGAAGCGTGAGTGACGGTGGGAGGAACCGTAGGCGATGAGCGGGGAAGCGTGAGGGAAGGTGGGGGAAGGAAGGGGTGAGCGACGATGTGGGGAAGCGTTGGTGAAGGCAGGAGGAAGCGTGAGCGGCGGTAAGGGGAAGCGTGAGCGGTGGTGGAAGAGCTCGGCGACGGAGAAGAGCTCGGGCGACGGTGAGGAAGAGCTCGGGCGACGGTGAGGAAGAGCTCGGGCGACGGTGAGGAAGAGCTCGGGCGACGGTGAGGAAGAGCTCGGGCGACGGTGAGGAAGAGCTCGGGCGACGGTGAGGAAGAGCTCGGGCGACGGTGAGGAAGAGCTCGGGCGACGGTGAGGAAGAGCTCGGGCGACGGTGAGGAAGAGCTCGGGCGACGGTGAGGAAGAGCTCGGGCGACGGTGAGGAAGAGCTCGGGCGACGGTGAGGAAGAGCTCGGGCGACGGTGAGGAAGAGCTCGGGCGACGGTGAGGAAGAGCTCGGGCGACGGTGAGGAAGAGCTCGGGCGACGGTGAGGAAGAGCTCGGGCGACGGTGAGGAAGAGCTCGGGCGACGGTGAGGAAGAGCTCGGGCGACGGTGAGGAAGAGCTCGGGCGACGGTGAGGAAGAGCTCGGGCGACGGTGAGGAAGAGCTCGGGCGACGGTGAGGAAGAGCTCGGGCGACGGTGAGGAAGAGCTCGGGCGACGGTGAGGAAGAGCTCGGGCGACGGTGAGGAAGAGCTCGGGCGACGGTGAGGAAGAGCTCGGGCGCCGGTGAGGAAGAGCTCGGGCGACGGTGAGGAAGAGCTCGGGTGACGGTGAGGAAGAGCTCGGGCGACGGTGAGGGGAAGCGTGGGTGTGTGTGGGGGAGTGTGTGAGAGACGGTGGGGGGAAGCGTGTGGAACGCGGAAGGCGATAGGGCCTAAATGCAATGTCCGCGGGGTTGCGATGCCAGGGCGAGCGAGATCGAAAACGTGATACGCCACTAACATAGTTGCTGTCATGCCGATAAGCCACGACCATCAATCCGTTCGGGGTTTCTATTTTGGCCGCAGGATAGATACGCCTGGATTTCTAAGGGTCCCGTAATATTCGTGAAAGCGATCGTGGCCTATGCTATGTTAGAATTTTTTTCCGGACTCTTGGAACAATCTACGAGTAGTAGGAAAAGCACGACCTGAATTACCAATGTAGGCAAACTGTGCACACTATGAGCGGTTGTTCCTTGAGAAAGGTGTTGGGACTCTCGCCAACCAAACCTGTTCTGCTGCACGACTCAGTGTTTTTTTATGTGCGATCTTTTCTGGTAACCAGCCTGGCTCGCGAAGTCAACTGTGGGTTCGGTAGGCAAACTGTGCACAGTTTGCCATCTTTTTTTTGTAATTCAGGTCTTGGGCTTTAACGGTCACGGGCGCACCCCAAAGTGAAAACTTGAAATCCGGGCATATTTGAAGTTTGCACTTACACTGTATTTTACTGTGATACGTGCAGTTTTCAACTTATATTAGATGTCAGTCATACCTAATACTACACATGTCTTCAATAGTCATAAAACCTACCTTTCCTGCAATGTTCTACTTTTCACTAACTACAGATTTAGCATGCAGATTTAACTACCCTACTCTACCCAAACATGCAATGCAAGCCTATTTGGCAGGCTTCCTCCCCTTCCTCCCCTTCTCCTCAAACAAGGCATAGGCCGCTGCCCAGTCCACTGGGTAGTCTAGCATCTTCACCGTCATCAGCTCCCCCAGCCTAACATCAGTAAGAGCAACACGATCCCACGACTTAATAATGTTTTGGCGGGAGAAGCCCCTCTCACACTCAACAGTGCTGAGGGGCAACACAGAGACTGCACGCCAAAGGGAGACTATGGTGGGATAGTCATCCTTCCAGTCTGCCGTGCGCAGCATGTTGGTGAGAGCCTGATGGAAGCTCTGCTTCTTGAACTTCTTCTCCATGGTGGCTGTGAAGAGGCGCATCTGCGGCTCTATGTAAGCAAGAGCGACTCCTGCCAAGGACATATACAACAAGGTTAGAACATGCCAATGTTGGAGAAAACCATATTCAATGTTAGAACATAAACAAGGTTAGAACCTTTACAAGGTTCCTACTCTACCCCTCTCGTCTTACCAGGTAGCTTGTTCTTGAACATGTCAAGGAGCTCGGAGAGATGGAGCTTCACCCACGCGTCCTGCTCTCCTGCACGGTCGGGATACTTATCAGGGGAGAAAAAACCAACACCATCGAAATGACGCAGATCCGCCATCCTCTTCCCCAGCGCCTTAATCAGGCGCTGAGCGAAACGCCTCGCCAGGTCCACGCAGGCCTCCAAGTCGCATCCCCCCCCAGGGTTTTCAGGGTCGATGATGTCCTCGTGAAGCTCGATCTCGGCTTTTGCATGCTTGCCGTTCTCGTCCACTCCCTTGAGCTCCATCTTGCGCTTGTCCTTGCTGCCGTGTGCAGCAAGGAACTTGTTCAGGCGAGAGGTGTTCGGCCCGTTGGATGCGCCGGGCTCGACGTAAAACTGCGACAGCTTGGTCTTCACCTTGTCGACATGGTTCTTCACCTCTGTAATGTCGACCTGAAAGCAAACAGAGTGCGAAAAAATTAGAGCAAAGCACACAAGTCAAGAAGCGACAAGGCCATGCTCATCTGCACCTTACCGTCTGCTTCTGGAATGACAGATTGAGTCCGTTGAGCAGCGCCAGCACGTCAGCCAGGAGATACAGCATGTAGTGGAACTTGAAGCTGGTAGCGAGTTTCTCCGTCTCGCCCTTCTCCTTCGTCCACATCCACATCAGCACCGGCAGCACATCACAGAAGCGACTCACAGCATCCCCGCGAGACAACCAACGGACGGTGCAGAAGCCTTGCACCTCCAGGTGCGTCTGCAGAATGACGTCCTGGAGATGCATGTAGGTCTTGTGATCGGTCGATGAACGCCCGAGACGCTCTGCAGTCTGGCGTATCATCTGATCTACGACGTTGAACTCCTTGAAGCTCTTCGCGGCATCCTTGGCAGCCAATGCCTCGCTGCACAAGCACGAGACGTGCGTGAGTATGGTTGGGGAGGGGACAGGTGTACAATACGATCGGAAGCAGTGCAGTGCAACCTTACCGATGCGCCACGCAGTGAATCGCCACCAGCCACGGGCAACGTTTCCGAAGCATGGCGACAACGCCGTTCTTCGCGCCAGTCATCACGGATGCACCATCCGTTGACACCCCAACAAGCTTGTCCAGCGACATGTCCTTCGACCACAAACACTTCACGATCGTGTCGTGCAGTGCTGCGGCGTCGCAACGTTCGAGCGACAGGAGAGCAAGAAACTGGGACACCACGGCCTCAGCTCTCTCAAACGTGACATACACGATGAGATGCTTTCCACGCGCACGATCCGTGGATTCATCGAAGGAGAGGCTGTACCAGGCCGACTCTTTGATGTCCTCGAGCTGCTTGGCCACCAGATGCTCCGCCATAGCCTCTACGAACTCGCCGAAGGCGTATCTGCAATGAGCACCGAATGAAAATGTGAGTAAGTTATCCACAATAGAACAGCAGAAGAAGTAGAACAAAGCAGAAGCATACGAACAGAAGCAAAAGCAGGAAATCAGGAGCAGAAACAGAGGCTAACAAGCACGTACCGCGAGTAATAACGACCGTACGATTCGTCGGTCATCATGTCGGGGCATCCTTGCTCCGCCATGAACCGCACCAGCATGGGGTAGAGCGCGATAGATGCATCGTTCCGCGCAATCCAGTGAGCTCCTTGCATGCATTTGACGACCCTCGCCATGACAGGATCGCTGCTGAGCATATTCAAGAGGCTGCGCTGCCTCACCTCCGTGCCTTCAGAGAGTCGTTCAGCTTCCATGGCCGCGAGGTGCACCTTGGACTGGTCATGGTTGCGGCACGCCGACTTCTGAAAATCCCTTGCACCGACTCCAGCACCGCCAAAGGGAGACTTGGTGTTAGGAGCAAACTTACAGCAGACGGAACACTTCATACCATACTGGCGCTCATGTTTGTTGTACTTCAAGCTCAGCCACGAGTACGTCTGCTTCCACGACGTGCTGAAGCGACGTGCAAGACTCCTCTCGGCCTCAGGGATCTCGGTGTCCGGGGGTACTTCTGCATCCTCTGCGATCGCGTTGTCTTGCGCCTCCAACTCCTCAGCAGTGGGTGGTGGCGGTACGCATCGTGCGCGCTTTCGCGTGTCTGGTGGCGGACTAGCGAAGCTTAGGTGAACCTGACGATAACGGGCTGCAGACCTCGGGGTAGACTGTGACGATGAGGCTTGCTGGGCGAGGCGCGGGTCCAAGACTGAGATTGCTACGTCTAGCATGTCTTCAGCATCCGTGGCTACGTAGGGCTCGGTCTCGGTTGTAGTATGAGAATAAGAGAAGTTCGTCGTGGGCAAAACTGGAGGAGGGGTTTCACCCTCGCTATGGTCCATGGTGGGAGATTGTGGCTGACGAAGGGAACGGGTTAGCTAGCCAATATATAAACCTCGCGTGTGTGAGCGAGGCGACGCGAGCTTTACTCGGCAGAGTTGGTGGGTGGAGGAGAAGTGCCATAGCACGGCACGAACAAAGGTGGAGAGCAGAGAGCTTGGGTGGGCGGTACCGTGGAGGTGGTCAGACGGTGGAGAAGAGAAAACATGGCACGAACAAAAGAGGAGAGGAGTGGGAGGTTGGGTGGGTGGGTGGTGGTGGTGTATGGAATGCATGGTGGTGGAGAGGAATCGTGGCACGCACGAACGAAGGTGGTGAGAGAGCTCCTACGCTGGAGTGCTTCACTTCCTTTGACATGCTTTGGAGTTCTCTGTGGCCGATAAACTTAGCCAGATTCACCCAACCTAATCCTATGTGTCACAGCTGTAAACTGCGGCCAGCTCGTATTGGACGCTAAGGGAATGTTCGGGTGCTCCAAGGCTGACTGAGACACACTACACACACACGAGATTGGCTAGAAAACGCTAAGGGAAAAATCCCCTTGGCGCGCTCTAGTGCAGGCTAAGGAGAAAGGGGGGGGGGGGGGGGGGGGGGGGGGGGGGGGGGTGTCTCGGGCACCCTGGGTGGGGGGGGTCCTACGAGCGGAAACCAAAACTTAGATAGGGGGGAAGGCCTGGTTTCGTCCCTTAACGCATCCGGGAAGGGTCGAACGAAGCACTTAGTGGCACGGGTGGGGTACGAATTCAGAACTTGCCGCATTGGAGCTGGAGCGAAACTAGACCTTAATGTTCAGGGCATTAAGGGCATATGCCCTTGAATCGACAAGTCTGCTTGCAACTCTCGATGTTGCATCCAGCTCCCAGCAGTTCGACAAGCTAGAACCCTTGACAATATCATTACGGATATAGTGTTTGACACGAGTTTACTTTCTAGCACAGCAACAGTGCCCTGCAACCCAAATTATAATAAAGCGGCAGTACTGTGTCAATAAGAAAAATAACTCAATAATCGGCTACTAAGAAGCACTTGATATCAAGAAAAGGGGAAATTGGGAAAGACCCGGAAAGGTACATTACTACCAGGCAGCTACAGGGGCGGAATATCGTGAGCACGACAGGAGGGAACGACAGCCGGGTGGAATGGGCGGACACTACTTGGTGGTAAGCGATGTGGTGGGCACGGACGGACCGGTCCGGAAGTGGATGGGATGGCACGGGAGCTACATGTTGAGCCAAACGGTGGTGCTGTGCTGTGGTTGAGGAGAGTTGAATGCGATGGCACGGCGGCAGCTACTTGTTGAGCCAGTAGACGAGGAGGAAGAGTGTGCAGGCGGCGATGACGGCAGCAAGAATGAGCGAGTCCCGTGACTTCTTCCTCCTGATGGCCGATAGAAGCGTGTTCAGCTGTACAGGGAGAGGGGAGAGGGGAGGAGGGGTGGAGGGGTGGAGGGAAGGAGGGTGGAGACAAAAGCAGAAGAGCATGTGGATGAGCTTATGGTGGTGCAGCACCAGTTGGTGATTGTGGTGCAGCACCAGTTGGTGATTGTGGTGCAGCACCAGTTGGTGATTGAGGTGTTGAGCATGGTGGGGTTGAGGCAGCATGGGAGATGGGAGGCATACTGTGAGAAAGAATGGGGAGGAAGCAGCCTATGTCATTCATGTGAGCTGCTATGGCACACAGAGGCAAAAGAGACAAGGAGAGTGACGCACAAAGGGAAAGGGAGCAGGAAGAGAGCAGCAGGACAGGCATGATAACAGCAGGGTAGGCATGACAGCAGCAGGGTAGGCATGACAGCAGCAGGGTAGGCATGACAGCAGCAGGGTAGGCATGGCAGCAGCAGGGTAGGCATGGCAGCAGCAGGGTAGGCATGGCAGCAGCAGGGTAGGCATGACACTTCACTAGAAGCATGTGGGAGAGAGGCATCAACACAGGAACCTACCCCTGGAATTCGGTTGCCCAGGAGTGTGACTTTAGAGAATGTGCCTCCAAGGAGCGAGCGCTGCTGTGCCAGAGATGATGACGTGGCGTATGCTTGCTTGATGACGTCATCAGCCTGACGGGAGCAGGGAAACGGGTGGCAGCAAATAGCACAGACGAAGCGATTGGGCAAATGCCGAGTTAGCATGTGTAAAAGATGGCATGCGCTGTGTTGGAACGCGCTGAATAGGTATGCGCCAACAACGAGTAAACATGCACTGTATACAAGATGTAGAATGCATGTAGCATGCATGTATGCAGTGAGTGAGGGGGGAGTCGTGCAGAGAACAAGAAGTGAGGGCGCAGGTGGGGAAGAGAGGTAGTTCACACCTGAGAGAGTGCGGAGTGGATGGAGGTGCGCTCATTGAGCAGTCTGGCCGTTTCAGACAGCACCTCCGCGCCCGCACTGCTGCCCGCGCCGCCACCCTCCCTGCCACCCGCCTTGCCGAACACTCCCAGCAGCTGCGCTCGCTCCAGGTTGGTGGTCACTGCTGCCCGCGTGCGGGCGAACTCCTGCCAGCACAGTCGAATGCGAGGCGTCAGAGATGCAAAGGCGTGAAGAAGAGACCAGAGAAGCCGCTATTTAACATGTGGGGAAGGGTTGAGAGTGGTTGGTTGTGAATCACACACACTCACACATGTGCGTCCTCACACCCCCCCACTGGCACGCACTCCAAGCCTGCCTTGAGATTTTCCAAAACATGCTACCGTGGGGAGTGAGTGTGTGAGCGGGTGCATGTGTGCGCCTGCAGATGCAAGTTGCTGTCCATACACGCATCCACGCACACACACTCCCACGAGTGCCATACTCTCACTCGCACCCACCCTTGCAAACCCCGCAAAGATGCTGTTGTGGCAATTGAGAGTGCGTCTGCAGCTCCCAGCTGCCCACCCAAACTACAGACGCCAGCCCACTCACAAACACTCTCACTCACACAGTCACACACACCCTCACCCACAATCACACACACACCCAAACTTCACTCACACACACAAGGCCGCACTCTCCCACCCACCCTAGAGAACTCCAGCAGAATGTTGTTGTGGCGGGTGAGAGTGTGTGCCTGCAGCTCTGAGCTGCCTCCTCCCGCCCCGCCCGCAGCAGCACATGCGCCCATGGCGTCGTTCAGCGACGCCAGCTGCTGCAGCAGCGCCTCTATCTCGCCCTCTCGGATCTGGATGGGATTTTAAAGGGGTGGCGAGGGATGCAGTGCGGTGGGTGGGACTCCCAAAGCGCCCGTGGCATCGTTCAGCGACGCCAGCTGCTGCAGCAGCGCCTCTATCTCGCCCTCTCGGATCTGACCACAGGCAAGCATGAAAGGGAGAGAGGAGGGTGGGATGGGGGGGAGGCGGGCAGCAGGCAGGAGACACTTCTTATCTGGCACGCTCTACTCTGTCTCGCCCTCGCGGATCTGATGATGAACAACGGAAGGAGGGGAAGAGAGGAGGGAAGGAGGGGAAGAGAGGAGGGCAGGGGGGGGTTTGCAGTGGGTTGGACAGACAAACGTGCGCCCATGGTGTCGTTAAGAGAAGCCAGCTGCTGCAGCAGCACCTCTATCTCGCCCTCTCGGATCTGATGATAGGGGGAAAAGGTTTTCAAAGTGGTGGGAAGGGATGCAGTGGGGTGGGTGGGATTCCTGATCCGCCCATGGCATCGTTGAGCGATGCAAGCTGCTGCAGAGGCGCCTCTCTCTCGCTCTTGCGAAGGGGGGGGAGGAGAGGTGAGGGGGACAACGCATTGGCATGGAGAGAGACGAGGGGAGGAGGGAGGAGTGGGGGGAAAGTTGGGAGGATAGGGGAGAGTAGAGGGGGGAGAGCGGGAGGAGAGGAGGAGGCGACGGCGGAGGCGAAGGGAAATTTGGAGCCTCAGCGGAGGGCGACGGGTGTGCTGGGCAGGAATTGGGAAGTAAAGCAGCAGAGGCGGAGGAGGAGCGGGCGAGAGAGGGCAGGGCAGCAGAGAAGCACGGAGACCCGCTTGGGCCTCTGGGAAAGGGATCAGAGAAGCAGAGGGGCGGAGTGGGGGAGCAGCAAGGTGTGGCGGAAGTACACTCAAGGGCGCCAACCCACCTGCGCCTCGGAGGGGTCGGGCAGCGAGCCAGCAGCGGTGGAGGAGGAGGCGAGCGCGAAGGCGGCGCCGAGCTTGGAGTAGGCGGCTAGGCGGTGGTCCACCTCGCTCTCCACTCGCCGCGCCTGCAGGGGGGGCGGTAGGGTGGGAGGGGGGGAGGTTGGGGAGGTGAGGGAGCGGGGGAAGCGCCAGTCAAGGCTGGTAGGGGGTGATTCACTTCGCTCTCCACCCGCTGCCACTGCAGTGTGGCGGGGGAGGTGGGGGGAGGTGCGAGTGCGCGCATGTCAACCCACCACGTGTCAGCAATTCCATGGTTGGATCCTGTATCAACGTGCATTACCTAAAAAGGGGGAACGGCAACGGCTGCTACCGAGTAATGTGTGCGACAGCGCGACCGTGCGACCGTGCTACCGGCGTGCGACTGTGCAACCGCGCGACTCACATCTTTCCGCAGATCCTCCCATCGCCTTCCCCCCGCCACGAATCCGCTGCTCACGCCTCCCCCTAACCCGCTCAGAGATCCCCCGCTGCCCGACATCCCGCCACCCCGCCCTTCCCCGCGGCTTTGCACTGCGCCGCTGCCACTCCCCTGCTCCGCTCGCGGTTCTTCTTCCCCCACCGACGGAACTCTCGGCGGTGCTGCCCTTCCGCTTCCCCTGTCAGCGCAATGCGCTCGTGGCTGCGCGCGCGCCCGGATTCGAGCCGCAAATTCGCGAGATCGCGGTCGGAACTGTTTCTCGCAAAGAATCACCTATAACGGAGGGAAACTGGGAGACCGAGGAGGACGCCGATTCGCGCGTCAGCGGGGGAAATGAATCTCACTAGATTTGTCGACTGGGTGTCGATTGGGCCAGTGTTGGTGCAGATGCTGCTGCTTGTTACGAAACTAGGGCTATGGTGAGGCACGTTCGAAGAAGTTACAGTACTAGGTCTGGTGAGATGCGAGTGTGACCCGGCGAATCATGATCGCAACGAATTTCGAACGCGATTGTAACGCGCTCGCAGACGCAGGCCAGGCCAAGAAGCCAGGGCACGAGCAGAGAGCCGGTTCGGGTGGAGATCGGCAGCGACGGAATCTAGGCTACGGAGGAGCGACCCTTGCTTTGCTTTGCTTTGCGATCCAGACTCACGCGCACTGTGTCAGGTTGGCTACCTGAGAACAATACATCCCAGCACAGACTGCCTCGTTATTGAATCATTATCTACATCTACCCTATTCTTCGGTTGAACTAACAATCCAGTCTTTGCAGAACTTGTTTTCGCAATTCGCTGAAGGCGTCAGAATGAGGCACCGCAAAATGACCCACCAGGCACGCTGGCGGTGGTGAGGTGAGTCACTCCTTTTCAGATCTTTGACAACAGGGTTATCCACAGCACCTACGTGTCATCAGGCCATTAGCAGCTCCTCTTTCTCGTTCCCGTGACCCGTCCCGTTCCTTTCCCGACACCGCACTTGGTCTGAATTACAGGACGGCGACAGCGAGGGATGGCAGGACGGCGAATTACAGTACGCAGTGTCCCTCCCTCAATCACCTATTCGTCCTACAAGTATGCTAACCCGTTGCTGTCCAATGGCTCTCCGCAAGTAGTGAGAACGCTTTTCCTGCGCATCGGGTCTAGTTTTCACCGCCGTTCATCCTAACCGCTCTTATTCACTCACGGCCGCATGGCCATGTGGTTGCGGCGATTCGTGTCGAGCGACGAGTGGCAGGACGCCGCAGCCGCGGGCATCACGCTCGCCATCTGCCTCGGCTGGCTGCTCTCCGTCCAATCTCTCGTCGCGCTCCGTCTGATCTCCGTCTATCTCAGCCGTAAACTCATCCACATCTTCACCGGTCCCATCTTCATGCTGACGTGGAACCTCTTCTCCAATCAGCCCTACGCGCGCCTCGCCGCTGCCGTCGTCCCGCTCTTAATCACCCTCCACTTCACACTCGTCGGTCTAGGCATGGTTAAGGATCAGTCAGCTATTAACTCCGTCACGCGGCGCGGCGATCGCAGGGAAATGCTGCGCGGGCCCGTGATGTATGGGCTGTGTTTCGTCGCCTTCACTGTGCTCTTCTGGCGCCACTCCCCCTCCGCCTTTCTCGCGCTCAACGCGCTCTGCGCGGGAGACGGATTTGCGGAACTCGCGGGTCGGCGGTTCGGGAACGCGCCTTCGCAGAAACTTCCGTGGTCCGGAGTCAAGAGCTGGCCTGGCAGCGCGGCGATGCTTCTCTGCAGCTTCGGGTTTGGGTTCGGATCGCTGCTGCTCTTTGATTCGTTCGGCAACTTCGCCCCGCGCCATGTCCACGTGGCAACAGCAGCGCCTGCCACGTTGGCGATAGCGGCAGGTGCGGCAGCAGTGGAAGCGGTTGCGCCTGGCGATTGGGACAACGTGCTTGTGTGTGTGGTCGTGGCTGTAGCGGGGGAGTTGGCAATGCCTCTGCTTGTGAGGTAACTATAGCGAGGAAGCATTGTCTCTGGTAGTTACTCCATTCCCCCCTCTGGTGGGACGAGGCAAGCAGCATGGCAGCTCAATGGTTGGTGCAGTATCAGCCTGACCTACCGCAGGTGCCATTTGGAAAAACAGAGGGAAGATGGTCGATAATATTTGAGCAGATGTGTGGACCGGCACACCAGAGAGATGATGTAGCAGGAGAGGAGATGACATGCAGATGAGGAGTTGAAGCCGCTGCTTGTGCCCACTGTGACAGGTTTTGTGGCTTGACTGAGAGTAGCACAGGTGACGTGTTGTTCACAGTCAAGAGGACAGGATCTTGAGAGAAACCAGGCGATTGTAGTAGCGTATGTCAAAACATGTACCATATTTATATGTTTTGTATGTGTTTGTTGCAGGCTATGTAGAGGTGACATTGGAGGGAACTACAATGTCAAATGTTGTAGCCTGTAGTGAGGCTTGTCTTATGGGGTACAACTGTTAGGGTTAGGACCATGTACCTCAACCCACATCAATGCACACACAATTCAGTTTCTGACATGGTATCAACTAGGTTAGGATCCCGTGGGATCACGTTCCTCTCGTTCACGTCCGTAGCGCCCGAGCCTGTCCCGTACCCAAGTGCCCGTTATGCTCGTACTATCCCTTAGTGCCTATCCCGCTCTTCTCTCTCGTGCCCTAGCGCCCGCTGCGCCTGCCATCGTGTCGTCCCTGCCAGTCGCGTCCTGTCCCGTCGTGTCGCCCCCCGCTGCGTCGCGCCGCGTCGTCCTGTCGCAAGCGCTCCGTGTGCCCTGCGCGTCCGTCGCGCCCCCCCCCCCTGTGCCCTGCCCGTCCGTCGCGCCCCGTGCGCCCGTTCCGTCCCGCGCGTCCCGTCCTGCCCCGCGCGTCCCGTTCCGTCCCGCGCGTCATGTGCGTCCCGCGCGTCCCGTCCTGTCCCGCGCGTCCCGCTCGTCCCGTGCATCCCGTCCTTAGCGTCCGCTCTAAATGCCCGCCCGCGGGCCTCCCTTACGCGCTCGCCACCCCTGCCCTACCCGCTCGCCTGACCTCCGCACGCGCTCTGCGCCTGCCTTTGCGCCCGAGCGCCGCGCCTGCCGCCGCACCTGCACCCGCACGCCGCGCTTACTACTATGCCTATCGCCACGCCTGCCCCCGAGCCTGCAGCGCCCGCTCGTGCCCATCGTGCTCACTCTGTCTGCCGTGCTCGTCTCGCCTGCCGTGATCTACCATAACTGCTACGCCCGTCCCGCCTGCTGCGCCCTGCCTGCCTATTCGCTTCCGCTTCCGCTATGGCGACCCCTAGGGTCCTTCGCTTTGATGCCGAGGGTAGGCCCCTCGAATTCTTTGTCTGGCTCCAGCGTGCTCAGCGTCTCCTAGAGAGTTAGGTACAGGCGAGCGAGTCCCTGTGGGCGCACGCTTCCAGTGTGTCAAACTTATATGCTATGGTCTATCTAGGCTGTAGTGGGGTAGACACTATAGGGTACAACATTTCTAGGTTTCCTACTTGTACCCACATTCTCCTTAGTCATTTCATTCCTCAATTCTCACATGGTATAGAGCAGGTTCCCTAGTGGGAACTTCCTAGGGCCCACCACTGAAAATCGATTTTTTTTTTTCCTGCCCTGAGATCGAGTCGCCCCTGACTAAGGCGCGCCCTGTGTGCCGCCCTCCCATTAGCGACCCGTCGCGCCGCCCTTAGCGCCCCCCCCCCCCCCCCCCCCCCCCCCCCCCCCCCCCCCCCCCCCCCCCCCCCCCCCCCCCCCCCCCCCCCCCCCCCCCCCCCCCCCCCCCCTTCTCTCACGGCCCCTCGCGACCCCGTCGCCGCCCCCTAGCGGCCCGTCGCGCCGCCCTGAACGGCCCGTCGCGCCGCCCTCAGCGGCCCCTTTCGGCCCCACCTCCACGGCCCCGTCGCCGCCCTCTCGCGGCCCCGTCGCCTCCCTCTCGCGGCCCCGTCGCCGCCGTTTGCGGCCCCGCCGCCGCCCTTAGCGGCCGCGTCGCCGCCCGTCGCGGCCCTGCAGCCGCTCCTCGCGGCCCTGCAGCCGCTCCTCGCGGCCTCGTCGCCGCCCTCTCGCGGCCGCGTCGCCGCCCTCTAGCGGCCCCAGTGCCGCCCTCTTGCGGCCTCGTCGCCGCCCTCTCGCGGCCCCGTCGCCGCCCTCTTGCGGCCTCGTCGCCGCCCTCTCGCGGCCCCGTCGCCGCCCTCTTGCGGCCTCGTCGCCGCCCTCTCGCGGCCCCGTCGCCGCCCTCTTCCGGCCCCGTCGCCACCCTCTTGCGGCCCCGTCGCCGCCCTCTTGCGGCCCCGTCGCCGTCCCGGCCCCTTCACCGCCGAGCCGCCGAGCAGCTGAGCCGCCGAGCCGCCGAGCAGCCGAGCCGCCGAGCTGCCGAGCCGCCGAGTCGCCTGCAGCCGAGCCGCCGAGCCGCCGAGCAGCCGAGCCGCCGAGGCCGCCGTCGAGCCGCCACTGCCTCTGTCGAGCCGCTGCCACCGCTGTTGCAGCCCTGTTTCTACTGGCGCGCCCCGGCCCTACCCACCCGGACTGGTGAGAGCACTCCCTGCTAGACCACTGCTGTCATGGCTACCCCCAGTGTCCTTACCTTTGATGCTGTGGGTCGTGCTGTTGACTTCGAGGTCTGGGTCGATGACCTGCAGCTTTTCCTACAGTGCGATAGGGCAGACGGACTCTCCCTGTTCGATCTCACCTCTGGTGCCTCTCCTGCCCCGCCTGCTGATGCTGACAGCACTGTTCGCTCACAGTGGGCCACACGCGATGCTGCTGCTCGCCTTGCTGTGCGTCGCCACTTACCGGCCGCTGAGCGTGCACACTTTAGTCAGTACAAGAGTGCTAAGACCTTGTACGACGCTGTAGTTGCACGCTACTCTTCCCCTGCCACTGCTGCTCTTAGCCGCCTCATACTGCCGTACCTGTTTCCTGACCTCGCCGCCTTTCCCACTGTCGCTGACCTCGTTACGCACCTTCGCACTAGTGACACCCGCTACCGCGCTGCGCTTCCTGCTGAGTTCTGCGCCAAGAATTCCCCCCCCATGTACATCACCCTCTACTACATAGTCACCCGGCTCCCTGACTCCCTTCGCTCGGTCAGGGACCACTTCCTCTCTGTTTGCCCCACCACACTCACCGTTGACCTCCTCGAGGAGCGCCTCCTGGCAGCTGAGAAGAGTATAGTCGCTGTAGGAGCCTCTCGAGGTGACCCGCGTGCCCCTGTCTTTGAGGGGTGCTCCCCCTCCCCCCTTTTGCCCTCTATTGCCTCTGCTACTGCCGTCGACTTCGTTGGCACCGAGTCGGTCGGCGCTGCGTCTGCCCCTAGCGGGCGACGCCGTTCCGGCGAGGGCAAGGGGGGCAAGGGCGCTGGAGGGGCTGGCGGGGGCGGTGGAGGTGGAGGTGGAGGAGGCGGAGGGAGTGGGGGTGGTGGTGGGAGCGGCGGCGGCGGTGGCGGTGGGAGCGGAGGAGGAGGCGGTAGCGGCGGTGGCGGAGGTGGCGGCGGAGGAGGTGGAGCTAGTCGGGGTGGCTCTGCGCAGCGGGGCGGCTTAGGTGGTGGTCAGCGCCAGCAGCAGCAGCGCACTCGTGAGACCCCGTCCTCCCAGCAGCTTCGTGAGTGGTACGCTGGGCGTCAGCGAGGTGGGGGTACTGGTCCCTGTACCTACGTCCTCCGTACCGGCGACCGCGCTGGTGAGCAGTGCGGGGGCTCGCACTCCATCCAGCGCTGCTTCGGCCGCCTGACGGACGCATGGCGTCACCAGTTCCCTGACGCCACTGAGATCCCTCGCTGGGGAGAGCTGTCTAGGGCGGGGGTTGCTATCTTTGATCTTGACTATGATGCTATTCTTGCTGCCATGTATGCTGTGTCTACTAGTGATGAGGGTGACTGTTACTTGTGTGTTCCGCTTGACCCGGGCATTGAGGCTGCTGCTCTAGGTGCTGGTGAGGCTGCTGCTCTAGGTGCTAGTGCGTCTGCTGCCCCAGGTGCTGGTGAGTCTGCTCTCTCAGGTACCACGTCGGCTCAGGCCTTACACACCTTCACCCTTGACTTGGGTGCTTCCCGCTCCTTCTTTCGAGACCGCACCACGCTTACGCCGCTTAGTCGGCCGGTTGAGGTCTCCCTGGCGGACCCCTCTGGGGGTCCTGTCCTTGCTCGCTTCTCCACTGTCTTACCGTGTCCGGCAGCCCCCTCTGGCACCCTGTCAGGTCTCTACCTCCCCTCGTTCTCTACGAACTTGGTGAGTGGTGCTGATCTACAGGATGGGGGGGTTGACCAGTTCACTCCTGCGAGTCAGCGGGTGACCCACTGTACGTGTGCTCGGACGGGCCGACACTTGGCCACGTTTACCCGTCGGCCGGGGTCGAGCCTGTACACACTGACTACTGAGTCTCCTCCGGTTGCTGAGTCTGGTCAGGTAGCTGCGTCGAGTCAGGTGTTTCCTGCAGCGTCCAGGTTTGGTCCTGAGTCTGCTCCCTGCTCGTGTCGTCTCCTGTCCCACCAGACTCTCCTTTGGCACCACCGCCTTGGTCACCCCTCCCTGCCTCGTCTCCGAGGCATGGCCTCCCGTGTCCTTGTCTCTGGTCTCCCCCGGTCCCTCCCTCCCCTCCCTCCGGGGCCTGCCCCTACCTGCGTTCCCTGCGTCGAGGGGCGGCAGCGCGCCGCCCCTCACTCCTCCGAGTTTCCTCCGACAGAGGCTCCCCTGCAGACTCTTCACATGGACGTGTGGGGCCCCGCCCGCGTCCGTGGCTAGGGTCACGAGCGTTACTTCCTGTTGGTGGTTGACGACTACTCGCGTTACACCACGGTGTTCCCCTTGCGCAGCAAGGGTGACGTCACTGAGGTGTTGATCGACTGGATCCGCGCAGCTTGTCTCCAGCTCAGAGAGAGTTTCGGCTCGGACTTTCCTGTTCTGCGTCTGCACTCTGACAGAGGCGGGGAGTTTTCCTCTGCCCGTCTGGGAGCCTTCTGTCGTGCACAGGGCATCCGCCAGACCTTCACGCTTCCGGCCTCTCCACAGCAAAATGGGATTGCTGAGCGCCGCATTGGCATGGTCATGGACGTCGCTCGTACGTCCATGATCCATGCGGCTGCTCCCCATTTTCTGTGGCCGTTTGCGGTTCAGTATGCAGCGCATCAGCTCAACCTTCAGCCCCGGGTCTCCTTGCCAGAGACCTCCCCCACCTTGCGGTGGACGGGGAAGGTTGGCGATGCGTCTGCGTTTCGGGTCTGGGGATCTCGGGCGTTTGTCCGCGACTTGTCTGCGGACAAGCTGTCCCCCCGTGCTGTTCCCTGCGTCTTCCTTGGCTTCCCCCCTGACGCGCCTGGTTGGCAGTTTTACCACCCCACCTCGCGCCGTGTTCTGTCCTCCCAGGACGTCACCTTTGACGAGTCGGTGCCTTACTACCGTCTCTTCCCCTACCGCACTGCGCCCCTCCCCCCGCCGCCGCTCTTCCTTGCGCCAGGTCCTCCCCCGGTAGACCCTCTCCCCCCTCAGGGTCCTGCCCCGTCAGGTGTGTCCCAGGTAGACGCTGTCAAGCCTGTCGAGGTAGCTGTTGACTCTGGTGCTGCTAGGGGTGCTGAGCCTGCGGGTGCCGGGTCTGGGGGTGCTGAGTCTAGGGGTGCTGAGCCTGGGGGTGCTGAGTCTGGGGGTGCTGAGCCTGAGGGTGCGGAGCCTGGGGGTGCTGAGCCTGGGGGTACAGAGCCTGGGGGTGCGGAGCCTGGGGGTGCTGGGTCTGCTCGTGTGGCCTCTCGCGGTGCTTCGTCTAGGCGGGAGCCACTCTCTCCGCAGGAGCTGCGAGAGTGGTTTGCCCGGCGCTGGAGCCGTACTGCTGGAGCTGGAGTTTCTACTGTTGCCGCTGGACCTGGAGGTGCTCGTACTGCTGGTACTGGAGCTGCTGGGACTGGGGGTGCTGCTGGGGCTGCTGGAGTTAGTTCTGCTGGTTGTCCTGCTGGAGATACTGGCGGTCCTGGAGCTGACGGCC